AAGAAGTGTACCTGCCAGGAAGCGCACCCAACCACTATCCTCGAACTCGTCGCTCTATTAAGAATCGCTGCGTGCAGGCAGTGGCGATTTCTTCTAGATGTGAGACATTGCAAGAGTGCGAGAACCCCGTCTGCCCAGCCACATAAAAGCCAGGTTATGGAACACGCAAGAAACACAAATTTGTAATTTGTGTTTCGCAGCAGCTGCTGGCACGGTGAAGGCGGCTTGTAGGACTTATAAAGCTTTAAGCATCAGGGGTTAAGGATACAGGCGGAGGTTCCCCCTTAGGTCCTAGTCACCCATACCGACAACTAGTCTTAGCTTATCCCTCACTCTCCAACATTGCTGCTTGTGCTAGGCACAAAACCCCTTTGGTCAGCCGCTGGGCAGCTGTGCACGGCGATCGGGTCGCGAGTCGCGACTTGCTCACAGCAAGTATCCTGGGCTTTGGATCGGGGTTTAGTTTTTCTCGAAACCACAACCCTAAACCTGCCCTAAACCCCAAGCTTATAACCCCCCGGATCATTATCGAGTCTAGGTGCTCTGTGTAGATTCGAGGGCCAAAAAAGATTTGGCGGCTTCGCCACAAACTTTCTTGAGTCGTGTACAACTCCAAGTCTTCTTCTCATATCCCGCTTCCTCCAAGCAGCTCTGAGCATGGGTCCAGAAGAAAGCCTCAACAGATCAGGTTAAGGAGGGAAGAGGAAACATGATTTATTAATGAATGTACGAGAACCCTGTAGAACCCTCAAATTAAGCCGCCTAGGTGCAGATACTTTCGAAGGGGTCCTCACCCGACTCCTGATGTGCAACTCGAAGCTATCCTTAATGGCACCCCAGCGTTTCCCAGCGAAGACACACAACCCGGGACGATAACGGCCAGCGAAGATAGGCCTCTTCTCGTTCTCCTCTGCCTCGGGCTCCTCCTCGGCCTTCTCGGTCTTGCTCGGCTGCTCCGTCTTGGGCTTGCGGGGCTTCCTGGTTTTTGTGGGCTTCGTAGCGACCGGCTTTCCGGGCCGACCGTTCTCGTCCATGGCTCCTCGGGATCGCTGCCCTTGGGATCCACGGCCTCGTCGGCCTCTGCATCGTTCTTCTCCATCTCGTCAGATGTCTCGGCCTTTGTGTCGAGACCATCATCCACTGGCACGGCCTTGCGAGGCCTTCCCCTCTTCTTGGTCGGACCCTCATTAGCCTCTTGGCCGATGCCTTGGCTTTAGCTTTGGTTTTGCTCTTTGCTTTAGCCTTAGCTTTAGCCTTAGCCTTAGCTTTGGGCTTGGATGGGGCATCATCTCCTAACTCCTCCTTATCAGCTTCTGTTTCATCCGGCTTCGCAGCAAACTGCGACTCACGTGTGATGAACTCTGCATTAAAATGCTCTTGCAAACTCTTCGCCACAGGCGACAAGTCCACGAGCTGGGTATCCTGCTGGTCTGCTGCTGAAGTTTTCCGTTGCTTCCACGGCCGGGCACATTGCAAGGATCTCTTCCTCTTCTCGATCTCTTGCCTAAGGTTTTACATCCCAAAAGAAAGGAACCGAACATTGTCCTTAAGGCATGCAGCACTCCAAATCACCAGGATGCTTCAGGACCTCTATCTTCTGGCGCTTCTGCATGAGAAGCACCTGCTGGGGTGGCGGAGTCACAACCTTGACCTCCGGGGAAGCCTGAAGCTTGACCTTGCTCTCGAAGTCGGCCGTGATTCCGGTATGCAAGGATTCCGCAGAACTGCTTGCATGGAGGCGGCGCGAAAGGCCCCCAAAGCACGAGCCAGCTCAACATCATTCAAATCCTCTTCCTCCGGCTCCCCTGGCTCTTCCACCTTGCAATCCTCCTCCGAATGAACATCTTCATCCCTTGACGGATCACCGGCTTCGTCCTGCTCGACAACTTCGAAATACGTGGCAACAAAGTCGAAAAGCTTTGCGACCTGGGGGTCCTTGGAATCTTGAAATTTGGTTCTTCATGCTTGGGTTAAGTCCAACCAAACCCTGTGGCTCCCACTTGAAATCCTGAACCCTTAAACCCCTGCAAATCACTTTACAAAAGATGCAGGATTGGGTATTCCTATTCTCAGAGATAGATCACGAACCCTGTTTCGCATGCTCAACACCCCCCTCAAGCCTAAAGCCTAACACCCCCAGCCTAACACCTGGAATACCAAAGTCAAAGTTTCCCAGCTGGCTGAGTAGATAATCCTGTGGGGGCTCAGACTAACAGTCTCCACAATTTAAAGTTTAGGCAGCCCCGAAAGAACTAGCAATGAATCATCCCCAAGTCAGACGTTCTAAGCTATCCTTAATAAGCCTTGAAGAATAACATAACTGTAGCACCAGAAAAACCTTGAGCCCTATACCCATCCTGCATGCATGCGAACCACTCTTCGTGCGGATCCGTCGCGTCGCTTCACTACGACATAGAGTTCTTCATGGACTCCGAATCACATGCCACCTTGACTGCATCCGCCGGAAGCGACAGGCTGGACCGGATCTTGGTAACCTACAGGGATCATAATCAAGCTTCCATACAGATCAATGAAGCACAACTGCTAGCTTGGAGGATATGAATAAGCGCCTCCTCCCTGCAGGCGAAGATGTTCACTGGACGGAGAGTGTCGATGTGGGGCAACCAAATCTCCAGCAGCTTGGCCAAAACCCTGTAGTTCAAGGAAATTGTCTCGAAGTTGATACAACCGACTTTGTTTGGAGAAGGCCACCTCCAAATATTTCCAGTTTTCAACAGATGCCCCTGGATATTCTCACCCTTCTCCCATTTCTCTGCTAAGCCGTTCAAAGCATCCTTGTCAGCAGCTGGAGTCCCCTTTCGAGGCATGCCCTAAGCACAACACAGCTTGACACCCTCAATCTTGCGAGCAAGCACATAAGTCGCTCAACTTGCCCGCAAACTCAACCGAAAGACCATCGATGTAACACATGCCGGGGCACTGCAACGAAGTGCCAGTAGATGTCCATCCACCTGAGCAACAATCATGGCACTCATAGTCGTTCTATCAAACCATAAAAAACCTTTCCAACTCATGCGACAGCCTAATTCAGTGCCAACCCAGGCACCGAATGATTTCCCAATGATGTGAAACAACAGCTGTAGGCAGCGAGGATGACCTGCGAAGGGGCCCGAACTTATTGTAGAAACGAAAACAGCTGTACGACCCTACTTTAGTTCACATGCACAATGCAAGGGACCGGTTTTATGCCAGCATTGTGGTTTGTGCAGCTGCGACCCCGATTCCCCGCTCGGCTCCACAGCTCTCCAAAATCTCCCCGGGACCAGGATGGCATCCATTCCGCTGATGTGCCTGGGATGGCTGGATCGCTTGAGGTGAAAAAGAAGGCTTACAGACGGACCCCTATTTATCAGACCAGGGACAATCATTGGAATTTTTGCACTACTTTCGCCAAGTAGTAGCAAGCTCCATGGTTTCTGTAGTTCTGGAGCATTGCCCACATATGATCGTCGGGGATAGGCACCTGCCGGAAAGTATTAATTACTGAATCATAGTGAAGTCGATGCTTCCTTCCATCCACCCCCCGGCCTTGGGCAACTTAGTAGAATCCATCCAATCCTCGTCCGAGTAAACGACCTCCTGGCACCGGATCCAGTACTGGTCCGGCATCTTCTCTAGGCTTGCGAACTTTCGAAACTTCAAGGAAGCCCCTATGATAATCGAAGCTAGCTATTGAAATGCTGGCCTTCACGTGCAAACTCCTCAAACAGCACTGCCGAAAGCTTATTGTAAGCCATGAGGTCAAGGCTCGGCGGGGACACAAAGGCCCTGCAAATCGATCTGAACAGCAGCCCCTCGATGTGCAAATGCTGAGGCGTGCACAACGAAACGTCTAAGATCAACAAAGCAAGCGAACCCTGTGATGTGCAGCAGAAGGGGGTCGCACCGCCGAAATCAGAGCCCAGCCGGCCATAGGCTTGTGTTCACAGCATGAAGGAGTTTTATTCAGGTTTCGCGGATTCTATCCTTTATGACTCGTCGCGACTATGATTGACACAAAGAATGATGCCCGACAAGAAACAATCCCCAAGGCAGCTGTCTTCGCTGGATATTCCTTCAAGTGTTTCCTAACCAGATCTGCTCAGCATGTATGTACCAGAAGGGGAGCTGCAGTCGCTCCAAATATCAATGCAACAACTATGAAACTCTTAGCCGATTAACCCCCGATGGCGCCCAGCTCAAAACCTCGGAAAGAGGGATATCAGCCCGCAGACCAAAGGCCCCGACCCGGGGAAAGGCCACTATTCTTGCTCAGACCGTTATTCCAGACTGGAGGAGGGATGCAGGTATATGTATATATATATATATATATACACAGTACACATATACATACATACATACATAGACATATAGACACACACACACACACGTTATGTATGTGTGTGTATATGCGTGATATGTGTTTACATATAATATAAGTAATACACAGATGCACATACCGGCATTGTGAGTGACATGTACAAACAGTATCAGTACATGTACGTAAAGCCAGGATCAGCACGACGACCACTGACCAGGGACGGCTGTGACCACCGCGACGACCAGGACAACCACGACCAGTAGACCACCTCGACACCTTTCGCGAAGTACTGGCGCGCTTCAGGAGCAGGGCCACAATGCTTCCCCCAAGTACGTACTGGCGGGATGCGGATACTGATACACATGCATGCAGCTGCATGTGCATCTGCGTGGGGGCGTTCTAGACACAGCAGATTGGTCCGTGATATTGATGTTTCCAGGCATGCGCGGGCAATTAGTTCGAGCGCTGTCATCCGCGTTGCCTTGCACGACGACCTGTAAAAGACGGCCTCCACCTGGACATGTTTCTCTGGTCTCGAGGCTTCTTCCCTTCCGCGACCCCGTCAACGTGTGGGGAAGACCCCACTCCGTGTCCCTTGCAACTATATATCCTTGCCGCTGGTGGCTGTCATGTGGTGGAGTAATATCATCTCAACTTGGAAGCTGCTTATCGCACCGGCCTTCTCGCAAGAGCTGATGGCTGATGTGCACGTGAAGACGTCGGCCTGTATTTACGAAGCCGCTGAGTGGCATTCAAAACGATGCTCTTGAACTCTTGTGTGTCAGAGGCATGGCCTCAAGCCGAGACCAATGCATCTGTTCCACGACAGAGACGGCATTCGGCCAACAGCTTCCTGAAGACATCGGAAGCTGCCAAGGCTGATCTCGGTTCGAAGTCTACCTCCTCTGCCCTTTCAAGCGAGCTCGCGAGCACAGTATTCTTTACACAAGGAAAACGCCGAAGGAAGGCTGCCACGCCTCGCGAAAAAGAGGAGATGACTGCATTGACGGCCTCGCTGGTTGGGGACACAAGGCCATGTAGTGGCGCTGTCAGACCTTGGGTTCAGGTGGTGTGAAATCTCCTTTTACAGGCCTACCGCTTCCTGGCCTAGTGAGCGTCTCCACTCCTTGCCCTTGGACAATGCACCCATGACCTTGGACGGCTCCAGCGGTTCTCGAAGCCTTTGCGAGTTTATTCAGACACCCGGGCCGCTGTGCAAGCAGCGCTCCCGCAGGAGACCACGTTGCTAACAGCCGCTCTCGCCTCTCCAGGTGCTTCACACGACCAGTCAGGGCTTCCCATGAGCCTCTAGTCCGTGTCGGGCCTGGGCCCAGCGAATCAGATCCAGCGCGCGCTCCCAGCACCTGAAAACCAACTTGCGTGGTCGGCGAAGGGTAGCACAAGGCCAAACCAAGGCTGTTAGTCATAAGCTATCAAGAGTCAAAAACCGTTCATGCGAAGAATTGGTTACAGCACCTACTGCTGCGTGCATCGCTGCCTGCGCAAGAGCCTACACCTACTCCTTCGCTGCTGCGTGCCAGACGGACAGCAGCGTGAAGATGGGAGTTGATTGCTAAGTAAATGTGATTCCTCATTTAGCGCCGTCTCGACGATCGTGCTGCTTTGAATGGCAGCCAGATTACAGCCTCCTACGGGCCGTCTTCGTGCCACCAAGACCATGCAGCGCAGAGCCAACAAGAGCAGGTGGAGTTTTTGACACTCACTCTCTGGCAAAGTCACGGCAGGTCTGCAAACAAGTTAGGCCTCGGTGGATGTCGGTGGGCATTGGTACACTAGGCACGTGGCACCCAGCGTGCAGCTGTCAAATGAGATTGTAGAAAAACCCGGAAACTAGTCACAACCGATATCAGGAATCGCTTCTTTTGAGTGCTGTTGGCTTCAGGGATGAAACTTCGGGGAGCCTGTCTTGCAGACAACACAGCGACCCGGACTCCCGAAGCCAAGTGCTGCTGACAGAGTGTAGGGCCGTTGCTCCCGAGATTACCAACAGATAGCATCAGCTGAGGGCACCCGGCTCGTTCCGCGGCTGCCATCACGTTTCCCAGCACAGGCGCACTGCAACGGACAATATGTGGGAAATAGTGCAATAGAGATGATGCCAGCACGTGGCTCCTCGTAGCTGTGGGCGGCTTCTCTCCATCTGAGCCTTCACGCGCATCAGCAGCATCTAGATTCTGGAATTCATTGTTGGTCACAGCCAAAGCTCAGTCGTGCTGGCTCAGGCTTCATTGCTCAAGAACCTGGCCTCCATGCGGCGTTTTTGCAAGGAGCATGGCTTGTCCCCACTGCCCGAATGCCTGCAATTTGCAGGACACACGAACAGTCTCCAGACGGTCGGCACCAGACCTGCAACATGTTCCCGACGGAGCTGATAGTCACCACATCCGGACGGAATTCTCGAGCTTTTCTGGAAAATCCTCGCAGCAAAGGCTCCAAGGGCTCCCCCAAAGCGCGCAAGTCACATCACGAGTCTTCAGGGTGCCAGACCATCTGCGGTCATGTCATCAAGAATCCTAAGCCGACCGGAGCAACTAGAGCACGTAAAGGTCACAAAGATGGGGCGGCACCGTACAGCTGTCTCCCACCGCCTTCCATCTCCGTCTGCCTGAGAAGGTTGCCGGAACGGCTCTTGTGCGGGAATCAGAGCCCTCCCTTGACAAAGAAAGAAGCGCAAGAAGCAATGCCTCCAAGATACATACACGAGGAGGGAGTTGTACGAGACCAAGGTGGGCTCACCCAGCCTCGGCACGATCACATCTTCACACCGGACACACCCGTCCACAATCAGCTCATAGCAGGAACGTTTGCAATCAGCAAAACACATACTACCTGAGCCGAGGTGCTGATTCAGCCATTCTAAGTACTGCCTAGGATGTCAAGGATAAAGCATGAAGGCTGAAGGCTACTGTTCATTCCCTCGCTCCATGTTGTGTCTTTAGCGTGGAAACATGTGGAAAAGATGTCGGAAACGTACATGTACGAAGCAAAACAGGTGGAAAGCACTACGGTCCTGAAAAAACTCACTAGCATCATTCAGGATCGAGTCGAAACTCTGGAACTTGTGTTCCTGAGCACCCCGATGTTTCTTGAGCAATCAGGATGACTTCGACTGCGTGTGGGGACTAGTTGGAAGGAAAACAGAACGTCCCCACAAGTCCCAGCATGCAATGCAACGAGACGCAGTCCATGCCGCCAAACCCCTTGCTTGCTCGCAGCGCTGAGAACACCATTGAAACTGATGGCGTCCTCAGCAGGCACCGCCACGAGTCATGACTTAAAATTCAACTACCTGCCACCACTGCTGCACATGGACATCCTAAGCAGATCCTAAGAGAGATAGGGGCAAGGCCGCTCGAAGCTGGTGACGCAAGGTAGCAGTGAGAAGGGAAAGGCCCGCTGCCCAGTGCGACACTTCTTCCGTGCTGCTCAATGCAGAATTCAGTGCGATTGTATCCATCTCCAAAGCCTTAGAAAGCCATGCAGCCGCGCAGCCATTTCAAGAAGGCGTCAGGCTCAAAGGCTCAAATTGGTTAGCTCCGTATTCGACGACGTGCAGCTTGGCAGCGGCTGTGGCGGCGGCTCGAAGCTGCCAGCAGCTTCGAGCCCAGTGGGACTGGGAGCTGAGGATGCCTCAAAAATGGCGCAGTCGCGGGGTTTGTGCAAACGGTATCTGTCAGTGTATTTAGTCGCTTAGTATGTCTATCGGCTGTCCGGTCAAAAGTGGCGGTGATTGACCTGGGTCAGTAATACTTTACAGTAATACACACAACAAACATCGGCGAGCCCAAATGGTTTTTTGGTCTCTTTAACAGGCTGTCCTGCGGTACCTCTAGGTCCAGGTCGAACACTTCAGACATTGAGTGCCCAGACTGGCTCAATCGCTCGGCACCCAGAAACATAAATCATCCCATGTGAGGGCGAGGACAGTAAATCCGAAAGCGCTCGGAGCTTCTTGCACGTTGGCAGCCCGACTAACTTACTCCAGGCTGATCGGTACACTGCCAGCCTCTGAAGTGCCACAATAAGTAAGCAAAGACAGTACTCCTCACTTGATGAAGGGTCGCCGCGCCATGCGCTGGTTCAGGAAGCCGCAGATCACATTCACCACTGTCATCTCGTACTAGTTCTTGTAATGTATCGAGGACGAAGCCAAGGTGTTCTGCTTTTTAACGGAAGATCGACACTTTAATTGCAAACCATAAACGAAGCCTCCATAGGAATGTGTGAGATTTTGTTCGTCATCAGCTGTGTGAGACATTGGTGATGTGGAGCATGAATTTAGCGAACCTTCGGACTCTTGATGTGGTTTCCTTAATCAAGAGCTCGTGTCCCCTCCGAACAGTTTGCTCCCTGCCTCCGGAATCTTTTGTCCCACTCGAACACTTTGCTCCTCAAACTCTCTAAATGACTTTCGAGCAGGGCGTCCCTTTTCCCCAACAGCACGATCCGTGCCGACGGTCTGCTGCTTCTTCTTTCATGAACTTTCCCCTCCTTTCCAGGGGCAACCGCGTCGGTGCCGACAGCCCCAGAAACTCAAAGTAGCAGTGGTCGCGAGCTTATGGCATGCTTCCCTGCTTCCATCCAACGGGCCTTCCCAGCCCAAGTCTGCTCTTGCTCGCACCTTCCACCCCACACAACCCCATGTCCGTCATCTTCAGTGGAGCCAAGCATAGTTTGGATCTGAGTTTAGCCTTTGCCACCCATCCTCTGACATCTAGAAACAGGCAAAAACCTAACCCCACCCTCACCTCTACCTGGTGAGACTGGTCTGGGCCGCCTGCCTCTGGACCGAACCCCTTCTTATGACAGGATAGATCTTCGGTTGCGCCGATGTTTGCAGCCATGCAGCCCAATACACAGCCCAGAGAGCACACGTCGGGCTGCAGCTGTTGGAGCAAGGCGAATCGGAGTGTCTCCATCCCCCTGGCGACACAAGACATGGGAGCAGGAGCATGCAGGCGAGGTGGCAATTTGCTGGTACGGTTGCAACCCCACTAGAACAACTTTCTGCCCAAGTCTTGGAAGAGGGACAATGACCAGCGACAATCGACGGCTACCATGGCAGCCATCAAGATGTTGGTGCCCACCTGCTTGAAACTAAGCGCTTCAACTCAACCCAGGCCCCAGGCAACTGCCCGCTTGACCAGTCATCTCGCTCCTTGTCCATGCACACTCCCTGCTGAGTGGCGGTCACATATGCAGACAGCGTCTGCTTCCAGAGGAGTTCGCCTCAAGGCACGTGGCACTCGCTCACGGCGAAATCGATCTTGAATTCAGTGGACTCATGAGTCGGTCTGGAACTAAGCCGATCAGAACTGGGTGCTTCGCCCTTCAAGGCCGTTGCTGCAGAGTTCGTCGTAGCGATGTCGGGCTGAAGTTGTGAGGCTGACATCGCATGCACCAGTGCAAATGCTTGCTGCCAGCGGAAAGGGGAAGATCGCAATGCCGCAATAGCCGCGTTATACCTCGTCAACTCATTAAAATCTTGCCCCCAGCCCCGCTCACTGCAAATCCGGCTGTCCGAGTTTCATCCGGATATCGACGTCAACTTTTCCGATGCCGGCACCTGGACGTTGCAAGTTGGAGGGCTAAGCTGGGTGCATCTAGATCCATCATGTGTCCATACCCCTCTGCCTGGAGAGTTGAGTGCCACTTCAAAGAGTGCCAAAGCTTCCTGCCACCAGCCCGCGCTGCCAAGCGCCTGGATGGCAGCAGAAGAGTCCTGGGGCGAGCAGATTCTTTGGAGACGGGCACTGATCATGCCTCCATCCTTGCCTAAACAGCGCTACGGCACCGGCCTGTGCTGATGCCAAAAGGCCTTCCTGTTGCAACTCCGACAAAATACGTGCGATTTGAAGGCGTCCAGCGGCTGTGCGACCTCCGGTCTTTTCAAAGCATGGCTTCTCTCTTCTCTGCAACCCTTCCCTTCGCCTGTGCTTCGCAGGCTCCGAAGCTGCTGCTGCAACCGAAACCTAGGCCAAAGCACTCGGGAAGAGCGGACAGTATATAGTTAGAAGCCGTCACAACGAAATTCCATACGCAAATCAGAAGTGCACAGAAAAAGCTTCACAGCTCGAGAAACTTCCTGGAAGTCTGCCGCCCATCTTGTGCTCGTTTGCGGCGGGCATGGCCCAAAGTCGCCTGGGCCTGCCGTTTGGGCTGAGTCCTACAGGCCCGGCCTACACCCCAAGAAGGGCCCTTCGCCAAACCCGTCATGAGCCCTCCATTTTCAACTCCTGGCTGGTTTCAAGCAGGACATGCTCTTGAATGTCGACCACTTGACACTCAGCTTCTCGCCGACAACATCCGACAACCACCAGCCGGCTTGTGATTAGTGAGCACTTACTCTGGTTGCAGACAGGCGGAAGTTTCGCTTTTCGAAGCCGGATTAGTGAGAGGAGTTCGTGCTCGAAGCCGATGGTCGAAGGGAGACAGGCCTCAACCGCAACAACAACAAATCAAACCGGAATATCCTGAGCAACTTCCTATCGAGCCTCTCGGGGTCAGAAAAACAACGATCACTCCAGAATGGAGCCTGGGAGAAGTGGGGAGGATCCCAAAAACCTCGACAACAGTTGCAGCCGGCGTTCGGCACGATGCCAGAAACCCCGAACATCATCCTGAACAGCCAATGCCCCTCAGCTCCGCTGCGCGCCATCCCTGCATGGAATGGAGCAGAAGCAGCGTGTACCCTGCTGCCACGGAGTCATCGAGCTCCATAGCTGGCGAAGCTCGGAAGGGGCTCCTGGGGTCCTAGGATTCTTTGCGCCCATGACAAGAGGGGAAGTATGGTCTGCTCCAACACGGGTACACATAGCAGCTGCTGGCTCCAGGTGCAGAGAGGCTGCAAAGCAACACCTCGAGTTTTGTAGAACGACTTGAGGCAACATGCCGAGCAAGACTGGGCTCCTTGGATGCTCGCATGGTTACTTGCAGCTGTTTGCCTCTGGTTTAAAAGCCCTCTTAGCACTTGCATTACGCACTCCATGAGTGGACTAGCTTGAGTAGGAAGGACATCAAACTGCCGAGATGACCTGTCAATAGGAAAACATCAGGCCAAGTCGAGGCTTCCAAGACAATGCCCACAACATCTAAACTCTGCTTTGTGGATTTGATCACATGTGGTCTGCGAGTTGAAGAGACAGGGCCACCTAAGTCAGGAGTTCACGAAGGTAAGTAAGCCCATGTTAGGCCGGCCGCCCGAACCATAATTGCCTAATATGGCTGTCCGGTGATCAGGATCGACGGGTGTGCAACAGTTCGCACGCTAAGATTGCCAAGCCATGTTCAGCTTCGCGGCTTCTTCAGTGCGGGCAATGACGCTCTGTGCGCCCTTTTGCTTGCAAGTTTGCGAGTAGCTCGTAACAGTCGGACTTTGAGCTTGGGGAGGAGTCTGTCTGCCCACTACCCTCTTCCATGTCAGTCTTGCTCAGTCTTTGCTTCCTCTTCCTCTTCTCGAGTGCATCCGTGTCGTCATCCATGTCCGAAGACAAAACAGAATCAACATCGATGGGCTATGGGGTTGGTAGGGGTTTTGTCGTTAACGCAGTCATTGCCATCCACGGTGTCAATCAGGAGCCGGACAGGTCAGCAGAACCCTTGGCGTTCACGAAGTCATCGCCATCCACCGCGCCGATATTGGTGTCAGGCACGCGGCCGGACGCATCACCAGGAACTTGACCTTGGCGTTTCACGAAGTCATCGCCATCCTCCGAGTCGTCGGAGTCTGCTTTTATTGCGAGCACCTCGGTAGGACCCTTGCCTGTCATGTGGTAGTCGTTGCCACGGAAAGTGCCGGATGCCGCCCCATGACTGTCATCCAGCGTGTCAGAACCGATGACGTCTCCAGCATGAGCAGGAGCGTTCAGCAAGCTGCTGCCGTAAACATGGCCTGGCCGCCTCCATGTCCCAGGACATCCCACGTGTGCGTATTTGCAACAAATCCGCTTCTTGTGGTCATCCCACTCAAACAACCAGTTGTCTGTGTTGGAGCAGTATGGAGCAGCCAGAAGTTCTCGCACCGGAGACATGCAAGTGGCCACCATAGGAGGGACTGTCACATATGTTCGACGCAGGTTCGAGGGATGGCCACCATGCTTTGAACGAGGAACGACGAAATTTGGTTTAGGGCCTAAGCCAGTGTAGGCACCGTGCAGATGGCGCACCACATGGTGCACAAGCGTGCGGACACCAAGGCGTCGTCCACGCAGGCTGGCAGAGTACGTTATCGGAGAGCACAGCTCAGCAGTGAAAGCAGATCGGGCATTGCAAGAGAGAGTCACGGGCGCTAGCAAACAGAGGCTCAAAGCAATACCAGCACAAGCAGATGTGCGGCGCCATTGGGCAGGAGATGCGGGTTCCTTCACGGTATTCTCAGCACTTGTCATGTTCGCCGCCCGCCAAGTGTTGCGTCGAGACACTTGAAGCCACTCGGCTCTGCACAAACACCTACCAATGAAATCAGCATGCACAACCTCCTAGCCACAGGTTCTGGAGACACACTCGCACTGCCTATAATTCACTCTGTAATTCACCAACTTCTTGCCTAGTCTTGTTCGAAATTGAGCCGAGGGTGGCTGCACATCGTGAGAGAGACTCGCAGAAGCAGTAAAGTGCTGAATCGCCTGTTTTGCATACTGCCGGCAAAGAAGCACCAGCCAGTCAGCGCTGCAAGGTTCATAACAAACATGCGCAAAGGAGATCAGTCCAGGTTCCACGAGTCCTTCGCTGGTATGGTGAAAGGCGCTGTTGTGCCGAACAGTGTTGATAAGCAAGGAAGCCGAGACCTCGCGTTTTTCGCGTATCTGCGCATCGCCTGGTCCTCGGTGCTCGTCTGACCGAAGCGTCTGTGTGCCACTTTCCACGAAGTGGGACTCGGCAGCAGGCCGACAACCGAAAAGCATGCATCCAACTGCAGCAGCCGATGGTTCTTTTTTTGCCTGGACAACGCATCAAAGTCGGATTGCACAAAACACACGACGATCTGCTGGGCCTGTTGATGATCAGCTTGCACTCCAGAGAGTCTCCACGATTCACTTGAAGCGCAGGAAAGAAACCAAAGAGCCTCAAAGCATCAGGTGAGTGCTGTTTTGCCCGTGTCCTGCAGACCCTACACCCTGCAAGTCCTATCAAACAGATCTGCGGCCAGGGCATGTGGATTGAGTGTCCGGCTGTTGCCCCCAATGCGTATGCGTGGAAGCTGTAGGCGCTGTTGTCAGCACCACTTCCTGCAAGCAAGCCTTGACAGCTTTCCCTACAAATGCAACGGAGGCGACACGAGGTTCAATTTGCTCGACCCTTGCCTAACTTCTACGACTGCTGCTGCGCTCCACCAAATCGGGGTGCTCGAATCTCCACGGGCTACCTGCAGCATTGGTTCCTTGGGGAATTTTCAGGACCGACGAAATCAATCGGACGGCAATACGGACGATAGTGCAATCGATCTACAACCTGCGAAGCAGATGTGCTAGTACAGTATTGAGAGTGCCCTTCTACGGGCAGACATCCTCTCGCTGTTGTGTCGTGACGCCATTTCTTCAGAGGAGCAACAGCCTCACTTACGCAGCAGTCAGACAAATGCATCAAGCAGCTCCCAACCCCAACAAGACTCATGCGGTTTTCTCGATGGAGAGAAGCCGATTTTGGATCGAGCCTATCTCACTGTTTTTTCATCGGGACAACATGTGACGGTACGCTAGCAGATTGCGCAATTGATAAGAACTGCCGAATCCGACACAGAACTCCAACAGGCCACACCAGAAGCGCTGCACTCGCTGCTGTTCTCGACAAAACTTTGCGGAAACTGCTTCATGCGCAGAATGGCAGAATGCCGGCTTCGTGGAAACGTTGTCCCGCATTATCCTGCATGCATTGGTGGACTCATGAACTGCTCCCTCCCATCATTCCCTCCCTCCACCCCGTCGCAGCCATACCAAGTGCTGGGCAGTGACAGGCAAACACGTGCCAAGGCCACGAAAAACGGAAGATGGCACGGACTCAACCATCCAAAAAAACTCGACGAGACCGACAAAGGCGAAGGAGGCAACAAAAACAGTGTACACAACTGACTGTGCAGAGAATCGGGCCTGCTTCACCGGGTTCTGTGGCGAACCACGGAAAGCGACGTCGAAGTACCTGAATGAGTTTCAGGGGGACTTGGGTAGCCAACAGCGCAACGAGAACTGTAAGACTGCGATGGAACCTGCAAAGCTGCCCAAGCGCACCCGGCGAAACCATCGAGGTGTCCATCTTTGGTAACCCTGAGGTTACGCAAAATCTCTCCGAATAGATTAGCTGCAACACTGCGATACCAGAGTAAACCAGCGCCTCATCGTGCATGATAGTGGTCTAGCGGCCTCGTGGGCGCTTCAAAATGCTTCGTGACCGCAAAATGGCAAGAAGACCCGCCTTCAAATCCTCCACGGTGATTGTGAGTAAATCCATTTCGAGCACAGGACTTGCGGTTCCAGCCAACTGTTTCGGCCTCAGCATGCATCAGCGCGACCGTGTTTTCTGGGCTGTTTTCGGCTCTGCAGAACCGAATGATGGATGACACATCCTTCCACACTCGACGCGTACCTTAAAACCTGTCGAGCTACTCGGCCACACGAGAGGTGACCCGTGCACCTCTGGAAGCCGGAACGGACATATCCGTCGATTGAACAAGTCCAAGTCGGGAGATGTGGCTTTTTCAATCATTCACGAGCCCTGGCGCGCTGGGGCAGAGACGAACACTTCTCTTGATGCTCTTTCCCATCACACCGATTCATGGAAATCAGGCAGAATACTGTAATTCGGCTCTTGGCAGTAGCAGCGTGTGTTCCACTCCTTTCGGACGATGGTCTGAGAGAACTTGGGACCCGGCAAAAGGTTGACAAACATGCCAGTCTGCAAATAATACCTGACCCAGCCAGAGTCAAAATGCCTCTCCTCTGCACAACAAGTGAGACGACGCCTCACAGCCTCTCGACACAATGAAAGCAAGTAGCATGCGTTGCTCTGCAAGGAACTCTTCACGCATGCAGGAAAAGTCTGTACCATACCACTGAACCATCGAGCCGTTGAAGTCCTCGAAGTGCCTCCGGAAGATAGCAGAAGTGTCGATGGGCACATGCTCTTCGCTTACTGAGAGATGTCAGCACATTCACAACGTGCCCTTTGAGCTTTGAGGCAGCCGCTGCCGCTCCCCATCAAAGGTTTGCTGCTTCTCACGGCAAGCTTTGAACGGACCGACCGGCGCCAGGAAAAGCGTGGCGTGCGAGGGGAAAAGGGCGCCACCTCTGCGTGCCAGTGTGCAGCTGGAAAGGCTTGCGGGGTGAGCCCTTCCACAAGTAATTCTCGTTGGGTCGAGCCGGTCGAGACGTGTTCTGCCTGGCTTGAGGAAGCGGTCGCGGGCGACCAAGACGCCTGCTCATCACTTCATCAAGGCAGTTCAGCATCAATTCCGGGACAGCCGAGCAATTCGTGCGCTGTCTCTTCTTGGCCGAGCTGCTGTCCAGCATACTCTCTCTGAGCAAGAAGTAACCCATCCATTCCTGGTACGGGCATGTCCCGGAGTATTATTCACGTACCGCGACTTCGCTGCTTCTGTAGGTGCAGCTGGGCATCGCTAATAATCACGTCTACCATGCATGGAAGCGTCGCTGTTTCCTCATCATGCCGCCCCATCGGCTGCGAACAGTGACCATTGAAATATCCTGTATTGACATATGGCAACTGTCTGGTAACGAAATTCCAAGGTTCGATGGTACCCTGAACAACCTGAATGATGTGGCTCAGACCTGGTCAAGAAAAATGAGAAACATCTCGGCAGCATAGACATCGAAGAGATCTTTACGATTGTGAAGGCCTTGCGCTTCAACAATTTTGCGACTTCGGACAGCCATGTCAGTGGCCTGGCTGCGCACTACGCTGAAGCCATTCAGGTTATTTCATAAACGTTCGAAACCAGCCTCCACAGCGAAGACTTGCTTGGCCCCTGCTTTCGCTGCGAAGATGGACCTGGAGGTGATGGAAGGCATGATGTGGACAAAGCCTAAGCAAATGCAAAAGGGATCTGCACTTAGCAGGCTGCAGTATGCAAGTTCCAGCACCTACATCAAGTACCTCGGTACAGTTGACATCAACGCGACATCGAAACAGGCTGAAGCAGGTACCTACTTGCTCAGGTTGGTGCAACTTTGTCCTTGAAGCTATCTCGATTCCGCCTAGTTTCAGTGAAGCGGGCGCAAGTGAAAGGTTCAAGGCCGTTTTGCTCCACCAAGACACGTTATGGCATCGAAATAAGATCCTGTGCGATGGGCATCCTGCAGAGCTCGTGCACCCTGAGGCCATTCCGAGGCCCACAGCTGTCTCGCAACTTACGAGCTGTCAGTGCCCAGTCCTCGAGCATGTCCATCTGATGATAAAGGTAGGCATACTCGCAAAAATAATTTGCATTGTCCTTTCTGCCAACTGTGCTTTGAAACCGCATCAACGGGAAAGGCAGAACCGCCAGAGCCAGTGTAACACCGTGCAGTGAAGTTGCAGTTTCGTCCGGTGGCTTCCCATCTTTCACTGCGGCACCTGCAACACAATCAGGGCCAAGACGGAAGCAAACGCCCGGTGGAGAAATTTCTGCTAGCTATGCTTGCAGAGGCAAAGCATGTGAGAAATCGATTGGGCACCAGTCGAAGACAGGAGCATGCGCAGAGGATAGGAAAGGAGAGGAGGGAGGAAGAGGGGAGAAAGCGATAGCCACCAACAGAATCGTCCTACTTCTGCTCTGCTACACGGGACCAAACAAAAACAAGCGTTCTTAATGCTAGGACTCCCAAATAAACGCAATCGTACGAGATTTCGACATCGGTCTCGTGAGTGGGATTCCTGCTTACTACTGGCTCAAGCCTATCTGGACCACGACCTCCCATCATTCCAAACATCTGCATCATGCGTGCCTAGTCCAGGGCCTTCGGCAGCTGCAGCACAGCCATCAGACATGCTTAGAACATCAAAGGGTTTCAGAGGGCCCAGGATCTAGGACAAATGCTGGAAAGAAGTTCGTGAACCTGCAGTGCTTGGGGATATGCTGACTATGCTGTACATGACATGCAGCAGTGGATCGACTCGTATACAGAACCGCACATGTGGTAAGTCGCACTTGCCGTGAAGTCGCGGTGCCAGCCATCATCTCGTCTTCTTGTCACACGACGGGCACGTTGCAACGGCACCCGACAAGTCAAAAAGTAAGGTCACTTCGTGCATCCCAAGCTCACCGAAATTGCACATGATGCCATCGGCCAGTGACAGTCTGCAACTGCATCAGCAGATCTTCTTTCACCAGCGCATCTTCTGCACCATAGCAGCAGCTGTTTACCAGAACCCGGCAAAAACTGCACCTCTTGCCGAGTCTACAACGTGCTGCGAGACTTGGGCCCTCTCCCCTGAATCCTGGCCCACTAGGCACAGCTTCAGATGCGCAGCACCGTCGCCGGTCCCTACGAAGGCCCGGCCGTGGTCGGCAAGGCCTTGGACAAAAAGCACACAGGGAATCACACATGGACTGAAAGCAAAGGCAGAAGGAGCTGGAACATCAGGGCTGCCGGGCCGCAGGCAGAGCTTCGCGCAGTCGTTCTGGATCATCGTAAGCGCTGGCGTCTGGTCCCAGTCTTTATTGATTTCGTGGAACTCGCCAAACACGAGCCGTCCCCCTGCAAAGGAACTTCGCATGGATCCAGCATGCAGCCAACCCTGGAGATTCCTACATTCACTTAAATGTCGCATGTTGGCTGCAAGGCCTGTCTGGATATTGAATCTCCACCTCGGCAATCTGACTTGCAATTTGCTGTGGGAGCCCATTGATCTCATTGCAGATGCAGAGCTAGTTCAGCTGCATGGTGAAGGTCGAAAGGTATGTACAGCGGCCGCGGCAACTCTGGCGGTGGCCTGACGAGGCCAGGACTCCCTGCTCACGAAGACACGAGTCCTCGGCCCGAGCCCGAGCCTCGGATCGTAGCGCAGGATCACACCTCCGTCTCTGGTGTAACCTGCAATGCCCAGGGCAGCACCGCAGGCACACGTCGGCCCGTCATGCCTAAACCAATGTGGCGCACCGAAGGCTCGGGGCGAATCTTGAGACTCGTTGCCAACTGACGGCCCGGATTCCTTCGCTCGATTAGACGGCAAACTCCTTCTGACCACTGCCGGTCGCAGACCACGATGCCTGCGATTGACCGCGTCTCCGAACAATGGCACGAACCTCGCACCAGCCAGTTTCAGATCACAGTCTGGGCAGAGACACCACGAGTCTAAGCAGCAGGCATCAACGCGGCAAAGCGGGCAGGTCACGTTCCGCGACAGCCACGATCGAACACACTCTTCGTGGAAAGTGTGGCGTGCAGCGCAAGGTAGTTGCAAACCATCCTGCGCACACTTGGACGAGACTTGCTTCGCGACATTGACCGCAAGTGCTTCAACTTGAGAACTACGAACCATAACCGGCGTGCCTCGTCGGGCGAGAGGGATGACAAGCAAATCGCACACTCCGATGCATCAGTGCATCGCCACCGGACAAGCCTTCTAAAGTCAGCATCGTTGAAGCGCTCCACCGATGGGACTGCGGATTCCTTCGCGCATCCAAGCTCTCTGAGGAGTCACACTCAATCTTCGGGCTCCTCGTCCAAATTGGCGACGAGACCAGCTTCCAGTTCAGACCGGCGCGCGTCGAGGCGATGGAAATAATCCTCGAGATCGTCTAGCACCTAAAAGTGCAACAAAGTGCAACTAAATTTGGATATTGTGCAGCTGGATTACTCAGAGACTGCATAGGGCAAGAGGCATTGGCCGGAGGTCCAGGAGGGTGATCAGATTGCCCAGGGGGTCGTGATGCCACGATTGGCTCGCCCGCTTCCTTGTTGAGGTCGCGCACACTTCACAGATAATTAAGAGAATGAACCTAAAACTCTGAATGGGCATAGCATGCGAAACTTCCTGCCAATGGGCCAAGGCTCGCTGTCCGAAGTGTCTATGTGGTCAAATCGGGAATAGTCAATCTGCATCTGTCTACTGAGTCTACCGCCTTCGGCGAAGCTAGCCTTCGCCAGCTGCAACATGCAAAGAGCCGTCGATGGTTACAGCATCCCGAGCAGCCAAACATACATAACTGCAGGCAAACGTGAATGAAGGCGAGCAATACCTGCTGAGTAGGCAGGGGTACTCCGACATCACTCGGACTGTCATGCGCGACGGGAAAGGAGAACCAGCGAACGCCTAGCCATTGTTGAGCCTCTCCAATCTAGTGAAGTAGTAAGGGTCAAGTGCCACAGCTTTTCGGATCTTGCTAGCTCGGGAGAGCAACAAAACATTCACGCATAACTGGATCTCAGAATCCGCGAACCGCAAGGCTCTAGCATGGCATGTGCTGCTTGGGAGCCATTCTCTTCTGCGCTGCGAGCTCGTGGTTGCGACGTACGCTCGATTCGAGTGAGACATACCATGCGCCTTCGGGTAGTTCGGTTTCTTCCCCACACACTCGTTGCTGCCACTCAATTTTCGCGTGCGCAAAGATCACCCGAGCGACACGCCGACAGCCTTCGGACCCTTTCTCCGTGAAGCCAGGGTCAAGGACGTCCTCATCATATCTCATCATAGCATTTGTGCAGCGATCCATACCGCACTGTCTGCGCTGTTTCCAGAAGACTGTCAAGCAGCCCGAAACGGTCCTCGCGCGCCAGTCCCAGAAATTTATCGCATGACGTCGGCAGACATTGTGGTTTCTTCAACCCGTCACAGCCACAGCGATCTGACATGGAGGCCTGTGGTAAAGTTAAGCGGTTGGGGTCGACGGACAGAAATCTCGCATCACCACCGCTGACTTGGCCACAAAAGTCTTCGTAGTCTTTCTTCGCTGCGAAAGAAAATCAGTTCCTCCTCCAACTCTGAACTGAGGGCGTGGCTTTCTGTGGTGCAGTTCTCACATCGGGAGCTTCCTCCGGAGCCAACAAAGTCGATGTAGTGGTTCGCTCGCAGCAGCTCTGCATCTACGGTAACGAGACGGGCACCTGGACGCGGAACAGCGAAGTGAGGACCTACTTCAAGGATGTTGTCGGGATTCAGCACCAGCGTGTGCGATATCATATCCTTGGCTGGTCCTCTGATTCGATACGACAGCAGTGTCTCGCCCTTGGGGTGGTCTCCCTGCATATACTGAACTTCTGACAGTTGTAAGGCAGCGACATGGTGTCGATCTGGTTCGAGGCTTTCAAAGACAGTCTTTACAGCAATCGCGAGCCGCGAGCTGTTTGCGGCCCACAGGTAAGTATCGAGGCCAGGAAGCATCGCAATCCAGTCGACCTGGCCCTTCAGCAGCATTGCGCAGTGCGAGTTCGACTGAATCGCAAGCAAATTCTTGTTGCGCTTTCCCAGCGCGCTCGACACCTCGGGCATTGCGCTCTCGGACCAACGCGGGAAGTAAGTCACCTGCGGGTCACGCATTAAGCCAGGCTCAACTTCTCCAAAGGAGCCGTCGTCGTCGTAGATAACAAACCGGTCCACGCCTGCAAGTCGGTGAAAGTTGAGCCAATCCCGAATCAGGAACGGGAAGCCAGAATCGGACAACAGGCCGCCAACATCGTAGTGGATGCGGAGGCACACTGCCAGCTGCATGCGTTTCTCGAAAGCGCCGTCGTCGCTGCCAGTGCAAATTGGCACGGGAAGCTCCACGCCGTGTATTTCCGAGAAGAGCCTTAGCATGAAGGGCTCCGCAGGCCGAAGCTGCAGCCCAGCGGGCACCGGGCAAAGCAATGTTAAAGCGAAGCCCATAATCGAGATAGGGACGGCCGGCACATCCCACACAAGGTCATTGCCGGTGAAGCTACACTGCCACGGATACAGTGCCACATGCGGCTGAGACAGCAGGTGGCCAGCCTTTTCGTGCACACCTGGGAAGCAGCCATCCATACTGGAGGTAAACACTACCACCTCCACCTCTGCTTCACTGTCTGTGAGGCGATGTCGTGGGATCACGAGGGCTTGGCCCAGAACATGGAAGAGCAGGTCGCCATGTCTCCCCCGGGTCACCTCCCCTTGCAAACAAGGGTACTGGAATGCCTGCACAGTGTCCCGCACTCCCATCTCTTGGCTGGAGAGGAGATCAGCAGGTTGGGGTTCCAAATCCAGACTACAGAGCCAAGAGAACCACGAGAAGTCGAGGTCTGCAAACAGCCGTGCTACTTCACCTGGTGCTGCTTCTGCCCCTGCCGACTGGCACCAAGGGCTGGTGACCTTGAACTTGACACCGAAGTCCTCGGCGATTTCTTGCTGCAGAGTCCGCAGAAGGAGTCGTACGCTCGGTCCCCAAATTGGGTCCTCGGAGTGGACTTTGCATAAGCCCTTCGCCCCTCTACAGCTTCCCGATCCCTTTCGGGCTCCAGAAGAGCTTTGTTGGCCGCAGCCTAGCTATCTATGCTGCGCTGCAGGTCTTAACTCATTCAGGAGCGGCAGGGTTGAGTAAAACGATAAGATTCAAGATGTTTTGTTTCGTGGTTGAAACGCCGCCCACACGTTCAGAGCTTCAGACTCAACTTTACGCTCAGGCTCGCGGTGCAAATCCGGAGGCTCTACGAGCCTCCAGTACAGAGCCTGGTCTCGAGTATACAAGCTAAGACTATCAAGATCACTAGCGGAAGAGGATGGCTCAGAACCTTGCAGGCAAGGAAGGTCTGGAAAGGGGGCGTCGAATCGTTTGTCCCTGCAACTCGCAACATACTACAGCTGAGACTCGGCTGGTCGTGTCTGAACTGACGAACACAATGGCTAGGCCTGACTAGGCACAAATAACCCCTGACCCGGAAAACCTGTAGGCTTCCCCAGTCACCTTTGAACAAATCAGAACGACTCTGCCTGCTCGGTGAGAAGATGATATCTTGAGCACAGCACGCATCTGCAAACTGAGGCCGTGTCATCTCCGTCCATCAAAAAATCACCGAAGATGTCTTCCACCAGCATCGTGTGGTAAGTGAAGGCGGCGACCTCCGTGCTCTCCTCGGAGTCCTCGTTGGCCCACTCCCATGTGGAGAGGATTCCCCTTTCCACGAAAGAGCACCTGTGTTTCACAACATGCAAGTCTTCACTGATTCAAAACTCAACGAAACCACCAAGACTCCGATGTGAAATCTCGACAACTCTATGACGAAAGCAAGGCTTTGGCAACTTTGACAATGGCCAGGAGGTTTATTTTGTTTGTGTCAAACGGTCAGATTATCCAGATCAGCAATCGACACGGATATCATTATGTGTCCAATAACACAAAGCGCCCTGCTACAGTTTGGTTCGTGCATCTTCGTGATGCGGAAATTTCGATTGTAGGTAGAACATCCGCAAATATGAACATCCAATTCGTGAGTACTCTTCTCATCGTAAATTAAGTGTTCTCCTGGCTGACCGTGTGGGAACACTTGCGAAAGACCCCTCGGATATTGGGGCAAACCCGTCGAACATCATAAAAGAGAGAAATGGCTCTATGAAATGACTGCCGTGGGTTCGACTGATTGCACGCCGCCGACGTGGACATCTATATAATGAGGCGCATGGGTGTCCTGAAACAAGGCTAACGGGATCTCCGGCCGAGGCGTGGCCGGGAGCTTGGATCTCTATGAAATAGCTCTCCTGAGCCCTGAGCTCAGCTGTACGATGTCCGGCCGGGACCTTGACTTCTATGAAATTGCTGACATGCCCTCCCCCACAACCGCTTGGCGTTAAACGCAAGCTGGCCCGGGCCCGGATTGAGCACCCTTCCTGGAAGTGGCCTGTTCTGTGAAATGCGTCGCCAGGGCTGCTTCGGACCCGTAGGCTAATCTCCATGTAGCAAGGCCCACTTTCTATGAAATGCCCCACCGGACTCTTGAGGACGAGCTCCCGTATAACCTATGAAACGCTATGAGATGGCTGGCCCGAGGAAAAACTCGACATTTGCCCGACATCTACCTCTATGAAATGACCCACGGTATACCATTTTACGGACGACTGGGCTGGTCATTATATTGGGATATCGGAGGGGGCTCTTGCGAAATTTTTGCGCGGACATTATGCAGACAAAGATGCCTGGGCGGGTTCCACAGTGCCTCCTCCAATCTCGAAAACGCAACACCAACTCCAAACCAACATGTCATGTGTCTTTGCAGTTGTGGTACTGCTGTTGCTGACTGCTTCAGCTCGTATTGTGACCGGCGCTGGGAAGGTAGCGGCGGGGCTGTCCAAGAAAAACAAAGTTGAAGAACAAGTTGGAGAACAGTTGATTCCACGCTTTCCGACAAATTGGTGGCACGGGGCCAACTCTGTTTCGACTTGTTTGTCAGTAGAAAAGTTGAGGAAAGCTGAACAAACTGCACAAATCCATTGCAATGTCTGAGACGGAGAGGGTGTTGGCGGGGAAAGCTGCTTTTTGCTTCAACTTTTTGCAGCTTTTTGCAAGGCTTGCGCTTGTTTCAACTTTCACTTTCCCAGCGTTCCCCCTCGCGCCTCCCCTCCCTGCCCCCGCCGTAACCCTCCTCCCCTCCTCCACTCCTCCCCTTCCTCCTCCCATCGACTTTTGTTCGACTATGTCGGCAACTTAAGTTCAACTACTTTGACAACTTTTTACACCATATCCCGAAATCCACAGATCAACTATGTTGCGGAACCTTGTTAAATATGTTCCTGCAAACCCCTGTCAGGCTGACTGGCCGGTCACAAAGCTAGTACTTCCAGTCCTCCATCTTCTCCTCCTCCTCCTACTACAACTGCTACTACTACTACAACTACTACTACTGCTGCTAATCATACTGTTACTATTACTGTTATCATTAGTATTATTATTACTACTGCTACTGCTGCTCAGTCCTACTGCTACTGCTACTGCCAATCATATTGCTGCTACTACTGCTGCTACTCCTGTTGCTGCTGCTACTACTGCAACTACTACCTACTAGCTATAACTAGTTAGCCAAAACTACAAACTACTGAATACTCAACCACGAACTGCAACCTGCTTCCTGCTCACTGCAAACGGCTTGCTGCTTACTACGTGCTACTTACTACTTACAACTTGGCTTACAACTTACTACTCCTACTCCTGCTCCTACTCCTACTACTGCTGCTGCTGCTACTACTACTACTACCACCACTACTACTACTACTACTACTACTACTACTACTACTGCTACTACTACTACTACTACTACTACTACTACTAGACCCAGCTCGGCACAACTGATGAAGTCACTTCGTTTCTGCAGCAGATGGATTGAGATTTGGATGCTCGCGGCTTCGGGGGCTAGTTTTGACATCGTAGCGACAGCAAGTTGCTCATAAGCAGCCTTGCTTCTGAAGGGTTGTACCAATGCTGTACAGCTGCCATGAGCAGCCGGACCAAAGGTCTCATCGTGCGACGCTCGTGACTGACTACTAGTACTACCACTACCACTACCGCTACCACTACGACTACCGCTACGACTACCACGACTACCACGACTACCACGACTACTACTACTACTACTACTACTACTACTACGACGACGACTACGAAAACGACCACGACGACGACGACTCCTACTACTACTCCCGCTCCTGCTCCTGCCACTGCCACTTTCTACTTCTCGTACTGCTGCGTACTGGGACTACGACGACGACAGCGACAACGACTACGACGACGACTACAACGGCTAACGGAAACTACAGAGCAACCGACGAACTAGCTAGCTAGCTAACCAACCAACGATTCGACATACCAACGAACCAAGCAAGCAAGCAAGCAAGCAACCGAGCAAGCACACGAGCAAGCCTTCAACCAGCCAGGCAACTATGCAACCGAGCAACCGAGCAGCCAACCAACCAACCAACTTACTGACCCACGCACTAACTAGTAAAGTAGCTAACCAGCTAACTAACTACCTATCTGAGTAACTAAGCGACTAAATCACAGACTACCTACCTACCTCATTAACAACTCACAAAGGACCTAACTAATCATGTAACTAGCTAGCCAACTGAATGGCTGGCCACCTGACGAACAAACTAGTTGACTGACTGGACATCGTTGCAGAATTGGTGGAGCCATAACACGGCTGGCAAAGAAGCAGATAGAGGACAGCAACGCAACACACACTTGCAGTGGACGCCAGTCGGCCAAAAGACTCCTTCTATTGATTGTCCTAATGATGTCTAGATGTTACTGCACTGCTGTTGGGGTTCTTGGCTTAGCCCCTTGCATCCCCTTGCCATATCAGATACTGCGGGTACGTTTTCACCCTCCCCGGGGGTGTCTTCGTTGGCCAGTGACTCCCAAGGAGAGCACTGGCCCCCTGCATTGTGAAATTGAAGATGCTTACTAAAAGATTTCGAAATCTAGTGAAGATGACAAGCGCAGGCCGTGCAGCTTAACTGTCGGACCGAGAAGCCGGGCAACCATCAGCCATTCCAGGACTGTTAAGAAGCGCTTGACTTGACAATCGGCCAGGCCCGAGCACTCGAAGCTTTCCCCTTTTTTTGAAGCCTCCTCGTAGTAGGCCCAGCGTCGCAGTAGCTCCAGCAAGGCGGGGTGGCCAATGAAACCCATGGCGGAGTGAGGCGTGCCAAAGACCACATCTCTGTATTGCCACACCTCGTTCCCTGACCCCGACCAAAGGAGAAAGGCGTGCTTGGACAGCTGGAGGCGAAGGAATGTCACATGCGAGAGCTGCTGAAAATTCCAACTGATGTCTCCTTGTTCCGCCTCCAATGCCGCGTTTGCACAGCTGCAACCACCCAACGCCGGAACTACATTTTGTTCCTGCTGCTTGGCGTAGCCTGGACGGCGATGGACCAACACGCAGTACTCCTCGCTGATGTTGGTGGCACAAAGCCGCCTCAAGTCCACACCGTCACTGCCACAGCGGCCCAGCAGCGGCAGCTGCAGCATATATGGCCACGAGTAATAGAAGAAGATCGGCTCTGTCGCATTGTCTACGGGTGGTCTGTCCATGTTGGCCGAGGCCATGCGGCGCCCAGAGAAACTTGCTAGCCGTTGGCTTTCGCTTGCCTCTTCCCGCGGCTGCATGCTGTCATCCTGACCTTCAGATTTCCTCGGCTCGCAAGGAATGTAGATGGAATCGCCTGGCCAAGCTTGGGGTCCGGTAAGGCATCAAAACTGGGATCAGTGCCACTGCGGGGATATCACGGAGCAAGAAATCCTAGAGCTTCCTGACACCGCGGCCTCCCACGCACCGCAGGCATACTCGCGTGGAGCCCTGCTCTACCGATCTGGCTTCTGCTGGACAAGCCTCCGACATGAAGAGAATAAAAGCCGACTCAGGTTTCAATCATGTTCCAGTCAGCTCGAGCACTCATGGCACACGTTGCGAGACGACAGGCCACAAGATGCTCCAGGCCTGGCAGCCGACGGCGAGAGAGCGGTCTAGCACCTGTTGCTAGAATTCACGAGCGAGTCAAACTACAGCGGCTGCTACTCAGGGCCAACATGACTCCGAGAAGGTGCTGGTGCAGAGCATTGGAATGCTGAGGCCAGGACCCAATGGCCCGAGGAGTTGACCAAACCCTGTCCCGCAGCGCAAGCAGTCTCATTCGGCAGCCAGGACATCCACACAGAAGGCTTCGCCCTCAGCCAGTTGCAGGCAGTCTGCCAGGGATCGACAGGGGCTGCTGACACGTGCTGCGTCAGGATTTGAGAAATCTCGTCGTTGGTAATGAAGAGATTCCTGGCGAGCGCCACCGCTCGATCGGCACTGGCTTCCATGCCAACAGCCTTGGCGGACTCCGGACTTGCCATCGCACGGCGGATAGAGCGGGGAGACTGCGGCTTTTTGAAACACCAGTGCGGCCCTGCAGCTGCCCATTTCGTCAAGTCGACGTCGCTCTGCTGAGTCTTGAAGATCTGCTTCGCGTACTCCGCGGGGCTGTGGGCTGGGAAGATGACCCGTGAAGGATTCTCCAAAGTGAACGTCGTGTCGGGCATCCACCAGTACAGCAAGCTCTGCAATTCACTGCTCAGGGAGATGTAGTAATTCTGAGGCTCATGCTGTGCCGTGGCAAAAGCCAGAGGCATGTTGTGGAAGAATGCCTGCTGAATCATCTCCTCAAGCCAGCACCACTCCCAAGATGCAGTAACGACAATCAGCTTCGTCCGAAAATCGGTTACTCTGCGGCCAAGAAGCAGGCCAACCCCAACCCGGGCCACCAGATACAACTGCGACGCAGCCCGGTACATTGTGCCGACAGGCAGGTGCAGGCCACCATTTCTGTTGCCAGCATCTGAGAGTCGTCGTTCCATTCACCTGTTCCACACCATCGGCCTGCATCTGCAACACAGGCAGGTCTCGGCAGCACACTGGCAGTCGACTTCCTTCAGTCCGGGCAAACCGGGCTGCTCACGTCGCCGGTCGATTCGAAGTACACCGTGCCGAGATTCGGAAAGTAGCCCTGAAGTCACCGAGGGACGGCTGTTCCGCTGCCGGCCATACTTCGCACGCAACGCAGGCTCACCGGGAGAGTGCAGCTCAAATAAAATTGGCGTGTGGTGCTTTAAACTGTTTCGCGCCTTAATTCACACATAAGACAGGCCTCAACGCTGTCTGCGCATGTTTGCAAGTTATTCAGGTTCACATCTGATACCACCGCGGCATAGCGAGCCGGATAAAACCATGAGGCATTGTAGGAGCGGTAGTATTCCAGCCTCAGACGCGAACTCATGCGCAGCTCTTGCACTGTATGAACACAGCATTGAAGAGGGGCCGCTCTTTCCTCCGAAGACCAAGGAGCGCGAGACCTCGACCTCCCAAGGCTTTCTGCAAAGCTGTGTCCATCACGTAGAGGCCCTCCTTGCCTTGATAGCCAATGCCTCAGTCGAAATGCATCGAAGCAGGTCGACGCGGCCAGTTCGGTTCGAGGCGCTCCCGAGGTTCACCGGCGCGTGCTCGCCAATCTCCGTAGCCCAGGTGCTCCACCAGGGCCTGGAAGCTGGAAGCAAGGCGAAAATCCCAAGTTCGCCACTGGAACAATGAGAAACAACTCACAAAACTGGCCTTTTTGAAAGAAAAGGCGCAAACAGGGCTCTGAGCAAACTGCGAAAAATAGATGAGGGGTGGTTGGCGGGGGGTGTGCGCACAACAGCGAGTAGCTACACGCGGAAAGCCTTCGGCAAGTCACATAAATAGCCCACACCAGCATAGCATTACAAAACTACCCCGAAACTGAAGCACCCCGATGGCTGATCCAAGGCCCAGGCGACGCCGCGTACCAGAACTCCATGGAGACATGGAAGCCTCAGGTACCCACGCGTCCACAGGAAGGATCAAGTTGACACTTAAGGCCGAAGGTTGCAATTGCGAGGCGTTTCGGGGCTCACTCTTTGGAATCTGAAGGGGCGCCACGACGCCCAAGCAGGACGGGTGCACGACGGCAAACCAACCCAAACAAACACACTTCCAAAACCGACCCTCAGGACCGCTATGCTGCTACCCCCAAGGCCAAGCTACGACGGGGCGGACCGCAGTTTCTTGCATTCGTCATATCCACCGGATCGTGATCACACCCAGCAAGCTTGAAAACCTAGTTTCGGCGCTCATAGGTTTTACGGAGTCATGTTGCAAACGTGTCACAACGTGTCTGCTGCAAGCACAGGGCCTGCCTGCATTCTGCTTGTGCTCCCGAAGTCCATGATGGTGTTGTAGCCCAGACGCTCCTCATCGGCGAAAGATCGGAGGCTTTCGCAGGCCATGATAAGAATAGCATAGCACAGGTAACACCAACACTTGTGCAGCCGCTATGGAATCCGAAGCGTCTTGGGCAATGATTTCGTAGATCTTGCTCACGATCGTGGCAGAATCGAAGGAAGATGTCCAAATGCCAAGAGGCATTGATTCGCCATCGACGACCACATTCTTTCTGTCCGACTCTGGTATTGCATGCGGCAAGCATGTGGTCACTGGAGCAGTTGCATCAGCGAACTGTGCCCAAAGCAGCGAGAGTGCGAATCGCGCGACACAAAAGCATCGCATGATTGAGCCACAGTCTGCTTCGACACGATGACCGTGCTGATGGAGAGTGGGCACACTTTTCGATGCATCTACGCATCTGCCTTTGAAGCGTTCTCTGACATCTGACTTGCAAGACTGAGGGCTGACTGGGGGACAAGCTTGAAGCTCAGCCGAGCCCCTCCGCCCCACCCACCCCCTGAGCCAAGGGAGCATCATGAGCATCAGCGCGGAATCGCTTTTCCAAACGATGGCAGAGCAAGGAAGCATCATGAGCATCAGCGCTGAATCGCTTTTCCGAACGACAGCAGAGAAAGGAAGCATCATGAGCATCAGCGCGGAAGCGCTCTTCCAAACGATGGCAGGGCAAGCAAGCATCATGAGCATCAGCGCGGAATCGCTTTTCCAGACGATGGCAGAGCAAGGAAGCATCATGAGCATCAGCTCTGAATCGCTTTTCCAAACGATGGCAGAGCAAGGAAGCATCATGAGCATCAGCGCGGAATCGCATTTCCAAACGATGGCAGAGCAAGGAAGCATCATGAGTATCAGCGCGGAATCGCCTTTCCAAACGATGGCAGAGCAAGCAAGCATCATGAGCATCAGCGCGGAATCGCTTTTCCAGACGATGGCAGAGCAAGGAAGCATCATTAGCATCAGCGCGGAATCGCTTTTCCAAACCATGGCAGAGCAAGGAAACATCATGAGCATCTCGAAACGATGGCAGAGCAAGCAAGCATCATGAGCATCAGCGCGGAATCGCTTTTCCAAACGATGGCAAAGCAAGGAAGCATCATGAGCATCAGGTGTGAATCATCAACCTTACCAGTCGGTACTTGGCTGTTTTGCTGCCTTGATGCAGACACATTTTCAGCAATCGGGTTTTGCTGACAGCATGGGCATTTTGAGCAAGTGTTGGCTGCAGTCTGATGTTCCTGGTGTTCTCACAACGGAAACATAGCTGGGGGCTGGTGCTCATGAGGCCCACATGGTCGACCCTTGTTGGTAGTGCAGGCTGCCTGCTGATGCTCATGATGCTCGTTCGGTCCGCCCTCGTTGGCATTATGAACGCCTTCTTTCGTTGCGAAACTACGGCCACTTGATCATGAGCATCGGCATCCGCCCGTGATGCCCACTTGCGCAGTCCTGCTTGTGAAACTAAGGCTGATGCTCACGATGCTGGCCCGGGCCCGGTGCCGCGTCAACGACAAGTGTTGCCCACATTTTGGATTCACCAGTTGAGGCTAAACAAAAAGCTTCATGGCCACAAAGTATGTGCGTGGAAGAGCACATGGAGGCAGCTAAAACACATGCAACCAAAGTTCCGATGCATTCCCGCGGGCCACCAAGTCGATGAGTTTGCTGTCATGTTGGAGAAGTTGTTCATCTCGAGGCAATCGACAACATGACAGCTAACCAAGCCTGCGATGAAAAAGGCTTGGTTCCGAAATTGCCCCCAAAAAATGGGTCTGATTGGTTGATTGCTTGGTTGGTTGATCAACCTGGCATGACACATTATTCAGTATTCCCGATGTTGCCACAACAATCGGCAACAGCAAAACCAGGTAAAACCTGCAAGGGGTGTTCGACCGATTGCGAGCTAGCATCTGAATCGCCTAAATCAAAACGGGTGTTGGGCTTGCTGGGTCTCCTCCGCAAGCCGAGCCATGTACCATTTCTCGGCACCCATCGCACGCTGTCGCTCCAAAGAGTGCATGGTATTCCTGGGGCTCCACTTTGCAAAGCATGCCTGCTGCAGGCTCTTTTCCTTTAGACTGCTCTGTGCTGTGTGGAGCCCCAGGGTTCGGGACTGCTACTGCAGGAAGAGGTTAGAAAACTTTGTCTGGAGCACCTTCTTCCCAATCACGCAGATAGCCGTGAAGCAGTTGATAAACTGCACTCCTAATGGTAGAGGGTCCTGCACGTGGTAAACGTTGTCTTTGCTGAGAAGCTCAGGGAAACGCTTTTCAATCACTTCAGCTTGTGACGATCCGAGTTGTGATTCTTCAAACTTCGCATCAGAAGCTCCGCTAAAGGTCTGGGCTGGGTCGATGAGCAGCTGATCAATCCATTCCTTGATGGTGTCGACAAAAGGCTTTACTTCCTTGTTTTGGGCACCTTGCACTCGAGGGTTGCGGCTCCAGACGAGATCTTCTATGACGTAGATCCCTCCAGGCTGGACATGCGGCCACAAGGCTTGGAAGGATGTTCGTGTGGCTGCATTCGAGTGCGCAGCGTCGTCGATCACCACATCAAAGTGTCCACCAGCCGTTTGAATCCAGTGTCGGAGCGTTTCCGGGTCCGATTGGTCTCCCATCAACAAATTGAATTTCAAGCCGTCGCTCATTGCATCTGCGACACATTTGGGGTCAATCTCTGCTGACCACAACTGCACATCAGGATGGCGAAACCACTTCTGCCATATCCGCATACTACCGCCTGGTGGGAATCCACCACCTTCCGCAGCCTTGGTGTAGCCTGCCCAGAAACCGTCACCGGGTCCTCCTGATGCTGACTGCCCGGTACCGCAGCCCAGTCCAATTTCCAGTACCTTCACAGGTAAGTCCCGCAAAGGGGCGAGGTAAATACCCAACGGGACGTGATATGTCCATCCTTTTGATGCAACGAATGCGCCAGCGACTATGTCGGACGCTGGCCGACCATCCGGAAGGATGGAATGTGCCACTTCCAGAAACTCCCCTATGCCTTTAGCATTGCTCGATGCGCCATGCGCCAGCCCGGCGATGAAGCTGCCTCGCTGCGGATCGCTGTCAGACAGGAGGCGAAAGCAGCAGCTCTCGAACGTGTGCACATCATCCCAGCAGAAATGCATAGAGTCTTGGGCTCGTAGCCGCTCATTGCAACATATGTCGAAATCGAACTCTTTGGTCCAGCAATCTGGCTTGCCGGGATGTTGTACTGCACGATCAATGGGTAGACGGATATGCTCTTGAACATAAGGATCACGGTAACAGCACGTTTCGAAACTTCGCCCCCCGTGCCAACAGTGGCCCGTCGGTGGCGACCCCAATGAGCGGTCACAACAGCGATGAAAGCTCAGCTGCTTGATGGGATCCGGGTCCCAGCAGGAAACATTTCCAGGAAATCCGACCACCCATGTGATCTCCGAGAAACAGCACGCGTTGAAAGTCCAGCCGCCCTTCCAACAGCTCTCGCGAGTGGCCGGACTCAGCTCACAGCAGTAGAAGAAGTCATAGCCATCCCCCCAGCACCGCTGGTTTCCAGGATAGCCGAATCGGAAACTCACAGGCACCCCGAGCACTACTGCACCGAACCCAAGGAGGCGAACCGATTTTTCATAGCCCATGGCTACAAGAGCCAAGTCTCAGCTCAGGGTCTATACAGACCAGACCCGTCAGCCCCCTCTTACTGTCGATCCCCGAACTGCAACTCCGAAGAATCCTTTATTTATAGCCTGTCTGCTGATGCGACTTCCCAAATCCTCATCATCATGATCATCATCATAACGAGCCGGCAATGTGAATGCGAGCTGCTCCGAAATCCGCAATGTATCTCCGCTACCCCTGCGTGAGGCTCAATTCTGAAAACCTTCATGACACAAACATAAACGTTGCATGTGCCAGACTGGTAAGCTCCCCACACCCGGAATGTTTGATTCGAGCCGCGGGCGTTCATGCGTGAGTCTGTCGCGGAGGTTTTCGACAAGGTTTGGAAAGGGACGCATGGCAAACCACTCACCAACTAAGTTGCCACATGCTTCCCAAAACCCTGATCATAATCGAGGACTCGCTGCAATGGGTGCACAAACGCTGTAGGATGATAAAAGCTCGTGGGTTGAGCGATCTGGAGCGCAAAATCTAACATTGCAGGCGAGGGTTTTCACACGCGCTCGCATCTGCGAAACAAGTTCGACGGTGCTTGGCCTGACAGCTGACACGGTGAAACTGAAGTCAAGTTGATGGTGGGGCATGGTAGCGTCTTCGAGGCATGGCGCCAGCAATTTGCTGCAATGCACCATTCAGTGGTTTGTGAAGTTTTCGAGATCGTGGAAACGACCTGAGCACCAGACTCGAACAAAACTCCTGACCCCTGTCTCGCAGCACAGGCAAGGATCAACGACATGTCCATATCGAGACTGCTGGTTCTTCTATTGCAAAGTCAACACGCAGCAACTACAACGGGCCATATGCTGCTGTGGGAGGGCACGGTTGCTTTTGCTTTGTGGTTCCGTCAGAATTAGCCTTTAACTGTTTTTATGTTTTCCGCATGGGTTTGTCCGCGCGACAACGGGGAAGCTACGTACCTAGGCTACCGGCTGCTGCCAAGGGCAGCGGCAAGCGAAGGCGTCTCCTGAGGCGACTTGCATGTCCAACGGCAGGAGTTGCGTTGCCCTCGTCGTGGGGATGCACAACCACTCGGCGGCATGCACACCTGCCTGGGAGCGCAGCAAATCTCGGGTACTCCGGTGCCTCGGCGGCGGCTGTGAACTCTGCATTCCCGATCGGCACGCCCAAAGCGACGAAGCCACGAGTCGTCGGCCCACTGTCACCTCCCCGCTCCGGGCCCCAGGCTTCAGTACCTGGTGGCGGCGGCCCTCCGTCCGCACGCTAGATTCGAATGTTGCTGAGATTAGCTGCGACACCCGCAAGCTGCTCGACGGTCCGTGTTTGTGTGTGTGTGTGACATCATCAAGCGCGGGTCTGGCGCGAACTGGAGTTGTGACGAGATACAGACGTCATCCAGCATAGCGGCGAGGTATTCCCCCGACTGCAATCGGTCTTGCGCGACAGCCCAGGCATCGTGTTGTGCTAAGGAATGTAAAACACCTGCTGTAAAGCATCCCCTGGCTCTTTTGTTTTTTTTCTTTGGCCTTTATTTTGTGGTGGGGTGGTGGGTTCTCTGTGTTTCCATAGGAAAACCTCTAATTTTCGCTGCGTTTTCATAGGAACAGCTCTATCTTCTCTACATTTTCATAACAAACACCTCCATTTTCGGTGTTGGGATCCCTGACTGTATTCAGACTGTATTGCTGTAGCCACCAGTATCCGGTGCCAACCCGAATCCGCCTCGTTTTGGGTGAGGTAAGAACCAAATTTCGGTGTCACTTGGCTCTTCAGGGTTCGGGCTGTAAGCTTCAAACCTCCTCGGATTCATCCTGTATCTTAAACTCGCCTCCTCATTTAGCGATTCCGTTCATCACATATCTTAAACACGCCCTCTCATTTGGCGAATCCATCCACCTGATTCAACTTTCGACACTCACACTCGCACAAGGCTGGCAAGGCTATTCAACTTTAGGGTTCAGGCTTTAAGATTCAAACCTCTTCGGACTCATCCTGTATCTTAAACACGCCCCTAAACTTGGCGATTCTTGGTTCATCACATATCTCAATAACGCCTCCTCATTGGCGACTCCGGTGCATGTGCCCCGTCATTTCGCGATTGGTGTTCATCATATATCTTAAACACGCCCTCTCATTTGGCGCGTCCGGTTCATAATATATCTGAAACACGCCGTCTCATTTGCCGATCCCGGTTCCTCATACATCGTAAAAACACCCCCTCGTTTGGCGATTCCGGCATCCTATGCCTTAAACACGCCCCATCATAAGCGATTCCTGTTCATCATGTATTTTTAAACACGCCCCCTCACAGGCCATTCCGGTTCATCATATATCCCAAACATGTCCCCTCATTGCGCGTTTGGATTCATTGTATATCTGAAACACACCCCATCATTTGGCGATTCCGGTTCCTCATATTTTCAAAGGTGACTCCTGGTGGCCTTCGCGGCGGCGGTGCTGTGGCAGCCTCCGGAAGGCTCCGATAGCGGATATTCAGTGGAAGCTTCGCCTTAAGCATATGGGTACGTTAGAGCACTACCTTCAAGAGGTAGCAGCACTAGCTGCCCTGGATCATGCTTCTGACGATTCCAAGCTCTTGATTCGCTTGGCTCTGCAATTTTTCCCGTGTCTTCGACATGGCTCTTGACGTCGCTCTGCAGTCTCCGACCACAGTGCAGCTCCGAACGCGGCTGCTGCCTTTTCTTTGCAGCCGGGTCTTCGTGAAGAGTGGAACTAGCAGCTTTCGAAGCAGCCTCTTGAAATTTGCTTAAGCTTTGGGCTAAAGCACCTCGCTCTACGGCTGTGTGCTGCCTCTCCGCCTGCACGCGAAACGGCGTGACACGTACTTGTACCAGCAGCGGCGAAGCCTAAAAACAGGCGACGGAGTGGGCTTAAACATGTTTTTAAGATTATGGAAACCGGAATCGCCAAATGATGGGGCGCGTTTACCAAGAGTCTGCAGGCACTTATCCCAGCGTGAACGGTAAGCGGAAGGGCTCAGCGGAAACAAAAGCTCTTGCCGCCCAAGGCCATCAAAAGCGATGGCGATGAGGGCAATGGCATCCTCGTCGTCAACACGTATATGCTGCACCTTCGACCGCCCCCGCAAAGAGGTCCTTGTGGATTCCAGTCGAAGAAACACTGTGCCAACGCTGTGGAAAAGGTCGGCCGGCAGCAAAAGGTGCTGCCACCGGCACTTTAAAACCTCTCCCAGTCGGGCCATCCTATAGAAAGCCAGTAATGTGCAGGTAGCCCATCGCCTGAAGCCCTTCAGCCAGCACAGGGTGACCATCGCCCTGGAAAGCAACTCCCAGGCAGGACCGAGAGCTCCTTTCAGTAGGGGCAGTTCACGTTGAGCGCCGACCAGTAGCGGAAGCCGTGCTTGGTGCCTCCAGTGCAATACAGGTAAGGCGAAGGCGGCGGCCGTGCCCGGAAAGGGCGCACCGTGAATTTTGAGAATGCCTCTTCGGACGAGGACCTCGCCCCGTCCGACGAGGCAAAGGACAGCGAGGAAACGGCACAGCATCACGAGTGCTTCTACGAGGAGGGAGGATGGACGGCATCTACTACCAGATCAGGGACGACGACATGGGCAAGTTCATCCCCCTCCTCTTCCTGAGAGGCGCATTCCCGGAGACTATAAGCACGCTGGCCCCCATTCGGGCAATAAGCCCACCGAGCATGAGCGCGTCTGCTGCGGCAAGGATTACGATGCCACCGCCCATGGCATCTTTATCACCACGGAAAAGTTTGAGCGCATCGCCACCGGCAGCACCCAGACCAACTATCAATGTTCACGGGCAGGACCACATCCTGATGATCCCTTCACCCAGGCCTACAACAACACCAAAACCCGAGAGTGCGACGACGTGGTCCGTTACCTGAATGCCTACGGAAAGCACCACCTCGGTGAGATGGCGACCTGGTCCACCATCAGCCTCTCCCGCGACGTCGCCACGGAAGTCCATCACGACTATCACAACTACACAGGGACCAAGAACTTCACTACCAGCGTGGGGCAGCGCACAGGGCAATGGCTTCCGGGACGAGCACACGATACACACAACATGTTCGTCGAGTTCGGTCCCTTCCTGAAGCACGCTACTGAGCCCTGGACCGGGAGCAGATGGTGCGTAACCTACAACACGACCCGCAACCTCAACAAGGCCGGGCCAGAGATGCTGAAGTTCCTGAAGGGCTGCGGGTTCCCTCTACCACGCAAACAGGTGCTTGCCGGGAACGAGGTCAAGCCCACCAGGAAGCCGCGGGCGAGCACCCGCAGCAACATCTTCAACAACGCCGCCAAGATCGGAGTCATGATGGCCACGCTGATCACCGCGGCCGGGAGCTACATGGCGGAGCACTTCGTGCCGAAGGCTGACACTGAGCCCATCGTGATCTTCGAGATTGGGAATACGGAGGCGACCCACGAAGCCGCCTCCATCGGAAAGGACGTTTTTGAGCCGATGTCCTGGGAGAAATACCGTGCCCCGGTAGGCAAAGAGAGTGCATTCCACATTGCCAATGGAGGCGGACCCCGTGAACTACGAGTATGCCTGGATGGAAGACCACAGCAGTGCGGTAAAGCCCTGCTCGACTTGGTGAGGTTACAGATCGAGGACGGCGGCACCGTAGTGATCAATGGGCCCGCTAACGACGACATCCTGAGCGCCATCGACAACGACCACTTCCTCAAGAACACCAAGCGGTATCAAGGCGACGGCGAAGGGAAAGTGTTTCTTGTGATGTTCAAGGAGAAGCCCGACACTAAACCAGTGGTGTGCCATGACCGACTCCACGAGACCAAGATGGTGTCCAGAGACAGCGGACCGCAGCCCGCAAATGGACAGTTGCCAATGGGCGCTGGAGGAATCACTTTCGGCGAGGGCACCCCTGGAACAGTGGCAACTGCCTTTCGCAGACTCCACCAGAACCTTGGGCACCCTCGACAAGAAGATCTACTTCGACACCTGAGGCTGGCGGGGTGCGACCCATCCGTCGTCAAAGCCGCCAGGTCCATGAAGTGCCAGGTTTGCAATGCCAACGCCGGACCGAAGATTGCGCGGCCTAGCACGCTGCCACCTGTGGCCGACTTCAACGACACCCTTGGCCTCGACCTCTTCTTCTGCCACGACACCAACGACGAGAAGCACGGGTTCCTCTTGGTCGTCGACTACGGGACCACCTATCACCTTGCTGTGAAGGTTGACGGGCAGTCCGCCCAGAACATCGAGGCCAAGTTCAATGAGATGTGTCTGCTTCCGTTTCGCCCGCCAAAGGCAGTCGTGATCGACTTGGAGGGGGGCCTACAATCCGCGCTAGGACGTCTATGTGACTGGCATGGAATCGGAGTGCGCAGCGTCGCTGCGCAAAGCCACTGGCAGGCCGGAGTTGTCGAGCGGCAGCAAGCATGGTGGAAGCACATTTGGGACAAGGTCAGCTACCAGCTAAGCATCACCGAGGACGAAGTCGAACTGGCGGTTCCCATCATCAACGGAGCCCTCCGGAGGAGATGCGGTTATAGTCCTTCACAATGGGTCTTCGGAAAGGCCCCACGAGTTCCAGACGGCGGGGAACGCGTACTCTGGGATGGACGTACCAGAGGCAGGCAGCTATGAGAGCCGCCGCCCGAGTCGCCTTCCACCAGAGCCAGACTGTCGAAAGACTTCGCAAGGCTATGCTGCGGCGATCTGCAGCGTACACGGGTCGCATCACGACCCCTCGATGTCGGAGAAAGCGTGCATGTTTGGCACAAGCCAAAGAACAGGCGACGAGGATGTTGGACCGGCCCAGCCGTGATCGTGGGCAAAGAAGGGAGCAACTACTGGCTTTCGAAGGGGGGGCGATGCAGGCTTACATCACCGGAGCACGTGCGACCAACAACGGCAGAGGAGGTCGGTGCCCTACTGGCGATGAAGAGCACCCAGGAGATCCCAGAAGGAGATGGAGCGTCTACTTGATCACGACCCTGATGGAGATGAAGCCTACGAGGACGACGAGCAGGAGTATCTGGAGGGCTTAGTCGAAGATATCAGCTTGCCTGGCGAGGACGATAAGGTCGCCGAAGCCGACGACGAGGACATCGCCCTCGACGTGTTCGACGATATCGCCGCGAAGGTCGCCGAACCCCCTGGACGGAGACTTAAAAGGAAGACCGCGATCGCCGAGCTCAACCCGGACAGACACGAAGCGATGATGCTGAAGACACAGCTCACCACCAGAGGCTTGGAGAAGCGTTGACGGAGATCCTGCCGGAGGTCCACGCGAAGTTCAGGGAGGCCGAGAAAACACAATGGGAGCAACTCTCGTTTGATGCTCTGGAGCCACTGTCCATCTCAGAGAGTGAGCGAATTCCTGCTGAACGCATTCTTCGAAGCAGATGGGCCTACAAACACAAAAAATGGTCCAAGCGCCACGAGGGCGAAGATGTACCCTGGAAGTGCAAGTCGAGGCTTATCATAGCGGGACACACCGACCCGGATCTCACTGACGAGAGCTTGACCCTCTCGACTGATGCTCCCACTTTGTCGAGAAGCGGACTTGCTTGCATGCTAGCTGCTAGTACGCTGCCGACGGCCTTGAAGAGGCCGACCCGTGGACACTAGCAGCCGGCGATATCCGATGTGCCTTCCTCACCGGCAGCTACTTGGACCGCGAACTTTACATGCATCAACCAAAGACGGGCTTCCCCGGCATGACCCCAGGGCAGTTGGTGCGAATCAAGAAGAACGTTTTTGGCCTCGCTACGAGCCCGCACACATATGGTGGCAGGACTTGCAGGCCGGGATGAACGAGATCGAGATTGAGCTCCCCGACTCCCCGACACCGAGTACCCTGGGAAGTATAAGTTCGAGCAGTCGGCGATGGACCCATGCGCGTTCCTACTGAGAAAGTGGATGGCGAAAGCTTCGAGGGCCTCCCCATCGCCTACCTGGGCTGCCATGTGGACGATTTGCTCGTCGCGGGACCGCGTGGCCTACAAGGAAAGATCCAAGAAGCCCTTGCCGCCAAGTTTGAAATTTTTTTTCACGCACCTTTTTACGTCCGCCTAATTCGCAAGTCCAAGTCCCCGTGCAACCTGCGCGCTACGGGCCGAGGCGGCTGGGGCTGGGAGGGACTGCATCGTGCAGTACGTCCTCGAGTGGCGGGTGCTGCGCGCCAGGCATGGCGCCAGCGATGTACGGCGCTCCGAGCAGCGTGGCAGCAAGTGTGCTTTGCAAAGCCACGCTCAAGAGGCCCCACCAGCGGCGCAGCCAGCCCTGCCTAGCTGCAGGGCGCAGGGCGGCAGGAGCGCGCTGGGCTCGGAGTCGCACGAGTTGGGTGACCAGACGTAGGGATTCAGCGCTCCAGCGTCCCCCAGCTTCGCAGGCAAGGACACAAAGACGCTGCGGCCCGGGTCGCAGCAGCTCAGGGTAGACCACACGTTTGCGCCGCTCTGCGACGACGATGGCAGCGCCGTCGCGCGTGGCAGCAGAAGGATGGGCCCGTCCCTCACGCGTCAGAGGGGACACATGTAACGTCGCAACACAACGCCTCGCCAAGTGGAGTAGCCCCGTAGACGACAAGGTCGAGGCGGCGGCGATCGGCTGGGTCAACGTCAGGGGCGGACGTGCGCGCCAGCCACTGCTGGGGCACTACTTTAATGGACTGGGTTTTAGCTAGTGACTTATTGGGGTTATAGAGGTTAGTAAAGGGTTATCAAGTGGTTACCATAAAGGGTTACATAAGTGGTTATGGAAGGGTTTACGCAAAGGGTTATGTAAGGGGTTATAGTGGTTATGATAGGCATAGAAGGCAGCAAAAATTGGCATGTATAGTATACATTTTCTGAGGTGCACACTGCGTTTTTCCTGATGTTCATGTCGGACCACACCAAATTTCGTTGAGAATTGGGTGCGTTTCCGTTGCATGGCTCTTTACGAACATCGCAAGCACCTCCCAACAACGACTTTACCGCGATCGTGGCTGAACAGCGCAAGCACCTCCCAACAACGACTATATATACCCCAATCCTGGCCGACGGGTATTTGGTTTCTTCACAGTTAACAGCACATGGCTGACAAGTTGATTGGTTGCATCTCGCTGATGTAGATGGGGTGCAAGTTACGCCCGAGCCAGTGCTCAGTGCAACAAACTTGAAAGCCGCGCCGCTTCTCTCAACGGCAGCGGTGGGATCGGCTTCATGCGTGTTCTCATGCAAGCTTACATGCGCTTCGGCGCCATGCACAGACACAAGCATACGCATCCATGCATGCAAAAAGACGCACAAAGCAACTCTGGAAGCTATATGTAGTTATACTTTTCAGTGTCGCCAGGCTCTGTCTGTGGCTCGTGAAGTAGCAACAGGTATATGCGAGCATACGTATACTACCACTGCCACTACGTTCCGCGCAGAAACAGTTTAGGAGCGGAAGCTCGGGCGGCAGTGCCCCCATGGACGCCTGGATTGCCGAGCTAAGCAGAGCGCGCCCGTCGCGGAAGCTCACGGAAGCAGAGGAGGGGATAGTGGCTGAGTACCAGGTCCTCCTAGCCAAAGCCATGGAGGCTTCAAAGGCGAGCCGTGCAGCAGAAGAGTCGTCTGACTCGTCCGAGGAAAACAATGCTGTTTCGGGTTCTGGCTTTGTTTGTCTAAAGTTCAGGTTGACATGTAAACAGAAGCATATAAGATGCACAGAGAGGCAGAGACAGGCGAAGCTATACGAAATTCCAAAGCACACCCTGCTAGGAGTCCTCCGCGCCGGCAAAGGCGGCAGGTGTGAAGGAGTCGAAAGCGGATCCCGCAGATGCGGGCGAGACATCAGCAAAGCAGGAGCCCGAGGAGGCTGCACAGACTGCTCCACAGGAGCGGGCGGAGCGCCGTACGGCGGAGAGCTGCAGTGGTTCCGACTGGGAGGAAGTGCGAAAGAAAAGCAAGAAGCAGCGCAAGGAGTGCCGAAGGGCGGACACAGACAGTGCGGAGCGCCCACAGTGGCGGGAGCGTGAGCAGGAGCGCGAGGGGGAGCGCCGAAGGGCGGACACAGACAGTGCGGAGCGCCCAGAGCGGCGGGAGGGTGAGCAGCAGGAGCGCGAGGGGGAGCGCCGTTCCGCTGACCGTGTGCAGCGGAGCGCACCTTGCGCGAGCAGTTCGTCCAGTTGGAGCACGAGATCCGGGGCGCCCTTCGGGAAGAGCGGGCACTGCAGGAGCGCCTTTCAAGGCGGGAGGAGCGCCCAAGGCGAGACGAGGGGCGAGACGAGCGCCCAAAGCGCCCAGAGAGACCGAAGTGGCGAGACGAGCGCCCAGAGCGGCGACCTGAGCGAGGCGAGCGGTCGGAGCGGCGTGGTGCGTACGATCGCCCAGAGCGGCGATCTGAGGTGCCAGACGAAGGTGCAGGTCGGCGAGGGGAGAGGCAGTGGCGAGAGGAGCGCCCAGCGCGGCGTGATGCGTGGCGAGAGGAGCGCCCAGAGCGGCGTCGAGACAGCCACCCGAGCTCCAGGGCTGCTGGTGCGCAGAGTTCTGCGGACGATGCTCGGACAACTGCGGAGTATGCATGTTCCTAAATTGGTGTTTAAATTTTCTATAGATATTAAGATGAAAGGCCAATCCCATTTGTAGAGCTCATGCACGCGCAGCTCAGGACTCTCGTGGCAGTGGGCGCGCACGTCGCGAAACCTATACAGCGGCGCCCTTGCACACGCCATTGGACAGCAGGAGAGGGGGCGCGGTTACCAAAATCGCCATTTTGATAGGTGCTTACGAGAGCAGAAACGAACGTGAGCTCACGGAGCTGTCGGAGCGCTTTGACGCTGAGCTTGCGGCGCGCACCGAGCGGGTGCTGGCAAATTCATGGGCAGAGAAGCTCAGGCGCATGGTCACTGCGGTGCTGCAGGACCAGACGGATGCATTGCGCGCCATGGTGGCGGATTTCCGAAGAGCGCGCCCGATTCAGGATGCCATCCAGAATCGGTCGTGGAAGGAGTGGAGACAACGTGGCTATGACTGAGTTTGGGGCGCTCGTCGCCGAGCAGCGCTGTAAAGCAGATGGGGCGCTAGGTAGAACGTAGAGGCGCACACATCTACAGTAAACCCTGCTGTAAGGAAAGACTTGCAAGCTATTGATGGCAACTGTGTGCGCCTCTCAGCAGTGTGCCTGCACGCCCGGCCGGCGAGATGCAAAAAACATTGCATTCATTCCTCTCTCTCTCTCTCTCTCCCTCTCTCTCTCTCTCTCTCTCTCTCTCTCTCTCTCTCTCTCTCTCTCTCTCTCTCTCTCTCTCTCTCTCTCTCTCTCTCTCTCTGTATATATATATACATATATATATGTGTATATATACATTCATTTTAAAAAAACAATATAGACACATAAACACATGCATACATATATATATATATATATATGCATATACATATTCGCGAACATGTGCGCATGTATGTATTGCTGAAAATGCTGCTCCTGTTGTTAGTGTTGCTGTTGTGCTGTTGCCGTTGACGCTGATGCTGTCGTGCTGCTGCTTGCTTTGTTGGGTGGGTGTTTTTTTGGTTTTGGGGTTTAGGCTTAGGGGTTTACGGTTCAGGGTTTGGGTTTAGGGGTTCAGGGTTTAGGGTTGGCGGCTTGGGGTTTGGAGGGTTTAGGGTTGAGGTTGAGGATGTGGGGTTTAAGGGTTGACGGTTCAAGCATAGGGATAAGGGATTAAGGGTTTGGGGTTAAAGGGGTTTAAGGCTTAGGGTTTGGTGCTTAAGGGTTCACGGTTCAGGGTAAGGGTTTAGGGGCTTGGGGTTCGGGGCGTTTAGGGGGTTCAGGGTTTGGAGTTTTAAGGTTTATAGTTCAAGGTTAGGGTTTGTGGGTGTCTGGGCGTTGGCTGCTGGTTGAATGGGCGCGGGGTGGGTTTGCATGTATAGTGCCGGTTGTTCGGCATGATGTGCGGCGTGGGTTGTGGGTGTGAGGGTGTGCTGGTTGTTGACGGGGCAACATCTGGCGGAAGTGATTCACAGCTCACTTCCGCCAGATGTTGCCAACAGAGGCGTGAAATCCCTGGCCCTTTGTTTAATGCAGTATTTACAGGCTTTTTGCTCGGTGGCGCATCACTTCCGCCAGATTTTGCCCGCAGATGTGGGGGATCCCTGGCCGTTGTTTTAACGCGGTATTTGCAGCATGGTGTTTAGGGGCGGTCGCTTTGGGGGGCGTAGGCTTCTTGGTGGGGCTGGGGTTTGCGGTGGGGTTGGGCTGTGGGTTGGGGGCGGGGGCGCGGGGGGGCGTGCTGGGGATGCGGGGGCTGCAGGGGAGGCGAGGGGGGGCTGGGGGACTGGGGGGGTTGGGGGCTGGGGGGCTGGGGGGGGCTGGGGGGGGCTGGGGGGGCTGGGGGTGGGGGGGGGGGGGGGGGCTGGCGCGGCGTGGGGCGGGGGGCGTGGGGTTGGGGGCTGCTTGCGGGGCTACTAGGCAGGGCTGGGCAGGGCTGGGTGGGAGCCGAAAATTCCAATTTACATATATAAATTGGAATTTAATTTTCCGGAAATTCCAATTTATATATATAAATTGGAATTTTTTTTTCGGAAATTTCAATTTATATATATATATATATATATATATATATATATATATATATATATATATTTCTGAAATTCCAATTTATATATATAAATTGGAATTTTTTCGGAAATTCCAATTTACATATATAAATTGGAGTTTTTTTTTCGGAAATTCCAATATATATATATATATATATATATATATATATAAATTTCGGCTCCCACCCAGCCCTGCCCAGCCTGCCTAGCCCCCGAGCCCCCCCCGCCCCCACCACCCCCACCCCGCACACCCCTCGCGCCCCCCCCCCCCCCCCCCCCGGCCCTCCCCCCCCCCAAGCCCCCCCACCCCCCCACCCAGAAAATCGTCCCATAAATCGCGAATCGCAAAAAAGTGTCCCTTCTGAGGTTTTTCCTCCAAGAATCACAAGTCGCAAGAAATGTCCCCCTAATTTTTTTCAACACCCCCCACACCACTCAATCGCATATCGAGGCTCCACGTCACCATCCCAAAACGGCTCTTCCCGCCAACAACCCCTGCCCTAGCAACCCCCACCCCAGCCCATCCTGCTCCACAACACGGCACGCCACACCACCAGCCCCTTGGATTCAAAACCAAGCCAAACCTCCGCGCCAGACCACCCAACACCACGTACCACCCTCTACCCCACGCACCACACCCTGAAACTTGGACCCTGAAGCACCAACCCCTATACAGAACTTGTACCACTAACCGTTGTCGTGCTACATACAAGTTCTATAAAAAGTCGCTACGTTGCAACCATCCCAGAGTTAAAGGGTTGATGCTTGATTCTATTGGTTTCGGGTTGTGGGTTGTTTTAAATGTATCTGTTCTAGTAAACAGACATATCATTAAATTCTATTACATGACAATCAATCAATAAAACATTATGATTCGCACACCCTCTGTTTTGCCGAACTCCTCACACTGCGCTGTTTCTGCCGTTGAGGCACACAAGTGCAGCCGTGGCTATAAACTATGTATTTAAACAACCTATATTTCTGTTGTCTATATCATCTAGGGTTTAGGGTTTAGGGTTGCGCGTGTGCGCCTCTAGCAGCTCTCCTAACAGCGGCACGCGCGCACGCAGCACGGCGGCAAGCGCCCACATGTTTGGTGCACGGCGACAAGCGCCCTACGCGTAGTCATGCTCGCGCCAGTTCTGCCACTGCCGGTTCTGCACGGCATGCCGCAGGCTGTCTGCGCCCATATAGCGGTCAGCAAGAACCTTGAACTGCCGCTCATCCTGCTGCTCGAGCACACAACGACACAGCATGTACAGCTTGTCCGCCCAGCTCCCCGGCTGGATTTCGTCCCAGCGTGTTTCCACGCTCTCCTGGAACCGCTCCGCGAGCGCTCGCAAGTCAGCGCCAAACCCGCAGTTCGCGTGGGTAGTGATCAACACTGCCACCTTCGGCTGCGCTCCCCCCCTTTTTTGGTCCAAAGCCTGCCGCGGAGGCACCTGCGTCTCTCTGCCAACGTAGCTTGGGCCAGCTCTCCCGCCGCCAGGGGCGCCTCGCCCTCGCCCGCGGCCTTTGGGGCGCACAAAGTCGTCCGAGTACTCCTGAGTTGCTTTGAACACAATAGAAGCAAACCTATATTATATATAGTTCACCCTATTATAATACGAGCCGAAGAATAAAACATAGAACACAAGCCATGAAGCATCACTTGTGCTCTCGTCGCGGTGATAGCGCTGGTCACGACCGCGGTCATCGCGCCTGTGGTCACGGTCATCGCGCCGGTCATCCCGCCGCTCATGGCGATCATCCCGCCGGTCCTCCCGCCGGCGCCGGTCATCGCGGCGGTCATCGCGGCGATCATCGCACCGGTACTCGCGGCGATCATCGCGCCGGTCATCGCGGCGATCATCACGCCGGTCATCGCGGCGATCGTCGCGCCGGTCCTCGCGGCGATCGCCGCGCCCCTCTCGCCACTCATCTCGCCGCCAAGGGCGCCTGCTGTACTCGGACCCTGAAGTTTCGCTCCGCCTGTCACGGCGCTCCTCGCGGCGAGTGCGCCGGCGCTCCTCGTCCTCCTCCGCCGCCCATCGGCGCTCGTTCTCCTCGTGCTCTCGGCGCCGCTGCAGGTCGGCCTCCTGCTGCGCCCTGATGCGCTTAAACACCGCAGCTTGCTCTTGGAGCTGCGCCTCAAAGCGGTTGGCCCGCTCACGTTCGATCTGCTCGTCGCTCTCCGCGCTTGCACGCGCACGCTCCTTCGTCGCCACCTTGGGCGCCTTATTGGGTCTCGGCCGCGGGTCCCGCGCATCGCCCAGCTGCCCGGTCTCCGCCACGCCGGGCTTGTTCTTGGGCTCCTGCTTGACAGCCTCTTTGGGCTCCTTTTCCGCCGCAGTGGGCTCCTGCTTGACAGCCTCTTTGGGCTCCTCCTCCTCCCCCTCCTCCGTCGCAGTGGGCTCCTGCTTGACAGCCTCTGCGGGCTCCTCCTCCAGCTCGGCATCCACTTCGTCTGGCGACTCCGAGGACGTCTCAGCCGCTTGGGGCTCCTTCTTCTCCACAGCTTCAGGCTCCAACTGCTCAGGCGGTCGGGGCTCGCTGTCGCCAGCCTTTTCGGGCTTCTCTGCGGGCTCCACATTCCCAGCCGCTGCGGGCTCCTCTGCCGGACTGGTCTCCGCCTCCACGGGTGGCTATAAAGAAAAGAGCGGAGTATATATTATTCAGTGTATATGTAGATATAATATTTAGCAACACACAAAAAGAACAAAAAACTTCATAAAAAAATAGAATGCTTTACCCGCAGTCCTCGGCAGCTCGTGCCCGCAGCTCCTCTTGCCGGTAGAACTCCGCGATAAACGCGAGCTCGGCTTCACCCAGGTCCCGCGAAGCACGCGCTCTCTCCAGGGACGCAACCATCTCCAGCAACACCGCGCGGCCCATTGCTGCAGAGTCTCCTAGAAGGCCTATATACCGGCCTATATATTGGTGTTTCTAAGACGTCGGCCTCAGAGTGCAAGTGTGGCCATGGACTCTGAAGTGCAGTGCATGCTGCAGTGAACTTGTAAGGCGTATACCTAGAGTCTTCATCAAAGTGCATGGAGCTGTGCATGCATGCTTGCTGTGTTGTGCATGCGTGCTGCTGCGTGCGGCTGCGTGCTGCTGCGTGCTGCTGCCGGCTGCATGCTGCGTGCTGTAATGCATGCTGCTCTGCTCTACCCTCGCTTTTGAAGAAACGGGCGTGGAATCAAAGCTTGCACTCATGCAATCAGAACGTGCACACCCGCTATATTATAGATTGCATGCATCTTCTGCATGTTCGCTGCGCAATGCATGCCACCATGCAACGCACTTGGCTCCAGCTGCGCCTGAAGGCGCGACCCCCTTCACCGACGAGCGTCCCGCACGCGAGTGCAAACAACCAGAGGGCCGTATACTCAGATGTAGTATAATGGGAATCGTCCGCATGATGTTCGCTCGCAGGGTCTGCATGCCGCTATGGGTGGG